AGTAATGAAGCCAATTCATAGATGGGGATTATTAGGAGGCCATGATTGGTAAGGGTCAATGGGAATTTTGGCCAGGACACTGGGGTTAAACCCCTACTCTTTTCGAGAAACGCCCTGTGATTTTTTATGACCACAGAGAGTCAGGACCTCGGTCTTATGTCTCATCTGAAGGACGGCGCCTGTCTACAGTATAGTGTCCCCGTCACTATACTGGGGCATTAGGACCCACACAGACTGCAGGGTGAGCGCCCCCTGCCGGCCCCACTAACACCTCTTTCAGCAGCAACCTTCGTTTTTCCCCAGGAGTAATAAACTGTACCTCAAGTGCCTTTTCCTTTTCTTTTAGCCTCTCTCTTAATTTTGCCAGCATGGCATCTCTCCCATCAGGACTACGGCTTCTGTCCTCATCTGAGTCCTTTGTCATGTTCATGTACTCCTGACGACACAAAAACACTATCCTTTAATTCACATTAAAACTAAACTGCCCACTTAAATGAGTTGCTCACAAAGCAAAACAGACTATCAGTATTCTTCTTCATGAACTCGTTTTTAAGACTTAAAACTTTTTCCTCAAAAGATTATATTTACACATGCATGAATTTAATGCCCACTGAACCCTGGCTATGACAGTACTAAAATAAAAATTACAGTTATCCCAATCAAGTGTTTCATAAAAGTGCACAGTACTTTTATTGTGTTCTATACTTGAAGACAGAAAAGCAAGTATTCTCAGGTACTTTGAGGGTCTCGGAAACCTTGAGGTAAAGAAATGTTTCCAAACACAAGATGAAAAGGTACAGGAGAGCTGGTCACCCCACCTGTAGCAGCTGATCTTTTTCACTGAGGCTGCTGGTGAGGCGCTTGATGGTGAGTTCGAGACTTTGGGCTTTCTGCTTGCTCTCGCTCAAGAGCGCCTGGTACTGCTGATCCAAGGCCCGCTCCTTCTCAGCCACCTCCCCCTTCAGCTTCTTCAGCTGGTTCTGCAAATCCTGCAAGCGAAAAGGCTTTCAGCGCTCTTCAACCTGCTGACGATCAATCGGGAAGCATTCTGCACCTCTGCAGTCCTTTAGAGCCACCCAAATCCCTCCTGCGCATCGGGTACTGGGAGCACACCGGCTGTCGCACTCACATTAATGGCCTTGTCCCCCTTGTTCTTCTGCTGCTGCAGGTCCTCCAGCTCCCCCTCCAGTTGCTCTTTTGCCTGCTGGAGGTCACTAAGCTCCTGCTCCCGTCGGCCCAGGGCTCTCTGCAGCTTCTGGTTCTCGGCCACCTTGGCGTGGTGCTCCGCCAGGAGCTCCACCAGCTCCGCCTCCTTCTCCGTCAGCAGGTTCTGATGCTCCTCGACTCCCTGGAAAGACATAATAATCAGCAATGCGCCCCAGGATTCCCACTCATTTTTACCAACAAAATTCCCCAAACGTTTCCGTGACTTTTCCCATAACTTCTTTTCCTACATAAATTACATCTCGCACATCCTGGGTCTTCATCCGTTTGGAGCCAGACCTTGTATTCTTCCATCTGCTAGCCAGAGGTCACTGAAAACACATTTACCCGGCATGGGCGCTAGGCAAGCTTACGGCTCACTATAAAATTCCAGCAAGAGGGGTCTGACGCGACACTATCATGTGTAATGCTAGCAACGGCACGCCGCAGCCTCTTTTTAAAAGTTTGCTAACTTATGAACAAAGTTACATGATACAGCCATGATAATTAAAAAAAGTCATACGGTGCATGACCCGTCACATCTCTCTGCATATCGATATCATCATACAGCGGAACATTCATTTAGACAGAATTATTATTATTGTTTTGAATGTTCCTCGTATGTAGTTGATGTAATGTAGTGTATGTAATTGTGCAGTTATCTGTAGTACACATTCTCTAGGCATGCTGCATGTGTTCAGAATACTATTTTCTTGCCGCACTGTTATCGTACCATAATGAGTTGTTTACCCCTGAGTAAAACAACTGAATACAGGCAGAATGAAAAGAGATCAAGAACAGAAATGCTGTCATATCTGGTACCTTTGCGTTTTCCATACCTGGTATTTTTGCATTTGTGCCTTACGTGCTGCCTCTCGCGCCTTTGCTAAGGCCTCATCTCGGTCCTCAATTTGGTGGTAAAGCTCTTCAATCTATCAGAGAGGAAGAGAAGACAGACACCGTCATACTTCCTGAGTTGAAAACACAAATGATACATGAAAGATCAAACCTTATTAGGAGTGCACAAAATGCTTCATTGTTAAGAGCATATACTGGGAAATGAAAAATATAATTGTTGAGTATTGGAACCAATAGCATTTGATGCATTTTTAATATCTCTCAATATACATTATCTAAACATTCAATGATGCATGCAACAGTATACTGTTATTTGTAATTTAGAGAAAACTTCAGCAGCATTCAGTTTTACATCAAAAAATTACAAATTGAATTAATAACCAAGTACTAAATTTTTGTCCAAGTACTACAGTTCCTGGGGATAACAAAATAATGAATTCAAGTCATGTGATCTCATAAGAATGCCATGGATCAGTGTTCATAATGTGAGTAGAGATAAAATTTAAAAAATCTGTTGCCAATCCAGAAATGCTCATTTTCAATGGGAAAATGCAAGACCACACTGTACAATAGAAGATGTGTGGGGCCAAGTCATCAATGCCATCAGCATAGCTCAACTACACTCTGCGCTGCCACCTGGTGGCAGCGGCACATTAAGAGTATCTCACAGCACTGTGGGCAGAGCCTGATCAATGATCGGATTACTACTCAGGGTTACTGCATGATGTCTTTACGCAACGCTGAAATGAAATCCACTCACATATCTTTTGCGAAACAAAAATCACATGTAGAAGCTAGAGTAGCTCCAATAACTGGCTTGTGCAGCAGATTAAATCATACACAGGGAATGAGTGCATAGCATTTCTCTCATTTCTGAAGCAGTGGTTTTATAAATATCTTGCAGGAATCATTTTCTTTGGATGGTCAATTGTGGAACTTGAGCTACACAAATCATACATTTGTTCTGCCTTTCTCTTGGAAATCTTATAGGAATCAGCACAGCACATAATTCTGAGCAGCAGAGGACAATGTCAATGTTTCTGTATGCTCTTGGGACTCACCTCCTTATCCTTCTCTTTCAGGGCGAGACTAAGGCCTTGGATGGTTTTATCTCGTTTCAGGGTGTTTTTTCTCTCCGAGGCCAGATTATTTTCCTGCTCTTCAAGTCTGCCACTGAGAGCCTGAAGAGGAGAGAGTAATTCAAGGCTGCAGTAAAATAACAGCACTTACAGCTCTAATTGAAACAAACCAAATGGAGGGCAAACTACAAGCCTACAGTCACAGAATTTTACAGATCCACTTAGAAGCTGCACCTTAGTTTCCTCGTCCACTTCTTCCAGTCTCTTCTTCTGGCTGTGGATGATTCCCCTGGCTCCGCTCAGTTCTTCTGTCAGTTGCTGAGTGACTTCTAGCAATTTTGCCACTTCATTCTGTCTCTCAACGAAGCTCTAGGAAAAAACGAGTGCCAAAAATAAAGTTAAACTATAACTAGCATTTGTTTCAGAAAGAAAGTAACAAAAATGCTCTGAATTCACCTTCCCCCCCCCCACCAGAGCTAAATATCTTGCTGCTTTGCTAGTCAAAACGTAAGAGATTTAGATTAAATCAGAATATTATGATGTGAGAAAAAGAAAATGTGTTGTTTTTTTTTTACGAAGACAGATGATACATTTTCTATAGCAACAGTATAATTATAATATCCCTTCAAAGGGAACATTTGTCTATTTAATTGATTTTTAACAAAATATCTAACACGTAAGGAGCACACAACCATGCAACAAAATGCAATTTAATAGGTTACAAGCAATGCAACTTTTGAGACATTTCTTAACATAAACAAGTCCCAGTCTGATCTTTCAGCTCAGAATGTTACGGCATTATTTTAAGCAGATTACCTCAACTTTCAACGGTGTATAGTCATCATTAAAATCATCTATAAGGTCCTGTAAAGATTTCCATTCGCCAGACTCCTGTCTCGTTTTTGACGATGCCCTGCTATGTGTGTAACTGCAGCCTGATGCTGGACGTCTGGAGACATATTTTGACAGAATGGGGATCTTACTTTTTGGCACTATTGAGATGGGCTTATACTGAATGCTCCTGAGCATCTTAAGCACATCACGGACAAATGGCGCATTACTTGAAGAGGTGCCCCTCAAATCAGAAAGACGAGAGTCAAATCCATCACCACCACTGCATCTCACAGCTGTAATGCTGAGCAAAGAGCAGGACCCAGAGTGGGAATCCGACTTCATGAAGTCTGGGTACAAAGAGTGGAGAGAGGCAGACCGGTTGCGTAGCGCACTGGATGTGCTGCACCTTCTGTGGATTAAATCCAGGTACATGCTTTGGGATCGACTTCGCCCTGGCTTCAGATAGGCATTTTTTAAAAAGCTGTCACAGCCCGACCGTGTGGAGGAAGGACACGCTGCGTTACGAGGCGGATCGCGAGCCTGCAGCGCGTCGTGACGCGTGCATCTTCTCACGCGGCTCCCTGCCGAGACAGGTTCTCTGGAATGAGCCGCGGAGAAAACGCTCTCGGTTTCTGAAGAGGCCTCTTCAGGAATCCCTCCATCACCTGCCGCCAGTGAAAGACGCTCTCCTCCGCTCCCCTCCGGCCTGGGGTTGTGGCGGCGGTAGATGTGGAAGATGCACTGGGACAGGGCGTCCCTCTCGGCGAGCAGCTGCTGCACCCCGGCGGCGTGCGCTGCCTGCAGCTCGCCGATGGCCACGTCGAAACTGACCACCTTCTCCAGCATGAAGACGCACTTGCTGCACAGGAACTCCCCCCGGCCATCGCGGGTCAGTGCCGCCCCCAGGACGTACGACAGGATCACCTGCAGGTTCCTCTTGCCGGAGGGACTGAAAATCCAGCGGCACTGATTCCCTCGCAGCTCGCTCCCACAGACGCGACACGGATCCCTCATCGCCCCGTTCAAAAAAACACCTTGAGGACCTGTACTTCTTCTCTCTTCTTAACCCTCAATGGCCCTGCCATGGGGTTCAGTGTTGCTTCTCACAACAGGGGGGAAAAACTAAAGGTTCTTGCGGCGAGTAAGCCAAGAAAGAAATCCTGTAATCCATCCTCATTCCCTGGGAGCACACAGTCACATCAAATCCCCCCAAGACAAGCATGATCCGCACTTCCACACGAGCTTATATAATCACGGGCTAACAAACAACAGAAAAACACCCTGTAAAACCCCTCAAGAAAGTTAAGGTATCCTCAGTAAATCTGAGAATACCAAAACAAGCCGAAGGACTTATCTAGTACATGATTGTTTATCATCCTGAAAGCTGCCCCATTTTAGAAGCCACCTCGGCTGTCCTGCTCAAATCTGATTTCGGTTTGAGGATTAAAGCCACAAGCACGTCTGCGTTTGCTGCCACCAGCTGTCCATGTTAAACGTTCAGACAGAGAGAAGACAAAGTAAAGGAACGAGGCAGCCTCTTCCGCACTGCAGCCTGCATCCAGTGCTATCAAAAATGCCGTGGGGAATTTCAACAGTTGGCATAAACATTTTAGTCTTTCATTTAGAAATGCTGTGAACAGGCTCCATCAGCCTCAAGTGAATTCATCTCGAAAAAACCTCTTTCTGAGCACATCTGCATAACTACAGCAAAACCACTTCCTGTCAGTTACAGATGCAAAACAAATTCCTTCCGTCTTTCCTCTGTAACACTGTCCCCCCTGATTCAATCAAGTGCCCTTATCATTGCAGAGCAACAGCATCTTCACAGATAAGATTTAAGATCATTCAAGTAAAACAACCATCAAGATCCAGCTCATCATATTTGCATTGTTGTATCAATTGTACCAATATGATACAACTCGTTCGCAAAGCGACAAGAAATTTTACGAGGGATTTTCTTTTCTAGAGGGAATTTTCGGAAATGCTTCCGTGACCCGTCCTCCTGCGTTTACAGTTCCAACGAGCATTTGGAAGACTGCAGGGGACTTTACAGATTAAGATTAGCCAGTCTAACAAGCACTTGCTCTGACAAAATGGAAGTGAAATCCCATCACCTACAGATTAAATAAACCTCATCACTTTTAATTAATTCAGCCAGATAAAACATCTGCTTTTCGGATTCAGAAAAATAGCAAAGGATGAGACTCATTGCCTGTGAGTCTTTGTCAAATAATATTTAAACGCCTGTTCTCTTTAAAGAAATACCTGTCAGTGTCAAATTTATATGGTCCTTCAGGCTGAGTTTTATCTGTTGGGTGGAATTATGCATTACAAGGTAACGTTGCTGAGTTTATATGGAAAACCCCACTGCTATCCTAGCAAGGTATTTAGCAAAGGTACCACACGATATTTAGCAAAGATTCTATCCACAAAAGATAGAAGAATCACGTAAAGATTTTACGAAGTACAAAAATTATGACCAGACAATCTGCTTTTTTAAAATCCAGGAATCTTTCTTTCCAGATTTCTCCCAAATCTTGTAAAAAAAATGACATAATCGATGTCGTAGATTCTCTTAATTCTCCTTTGAATAATGCCTGAGATTATAAAAGGCCAATTATGGCATGATTTCTTCGATTGCATACACATCATCTGGAATAAAACTAAACCAGAAAAATGTACAAAGACAAGTTACAAAAAGGATGACTGCAGACAGTCATGCCCTGAAGGCACATTATTTCTACCACAATGCACCCACTGTAAAGATCTACAATGCTCCACCAGCAACCAAAGTGAAAGCCCATTTGAGTTTTCTGTGAAAGTGTGTACTTCAGTATGAACATTGAACTGCAAAAAACATTTCCATCTCTCCTTAAACCATTCTTCTGAAAACCAAGCCAGTCCATTTGTATAGTACACTCAGATGCACAGCACAGCAACCATCTTCTTAAATACATGTGTGCAGAAATAAATTACAGATGGACATTTATGCTGTTTTTTTCGTTACATTATGCTTTATAAAGTGTACAATTCTATCAAAACTATTTCAACCAATCTGAATTAACAAAAAAAAATCAAAACATACCTCCATCTCTTTTTCCAATCTGACCTTCCCCTTCCCAAGTTCATTTCTTAGCGCCTGAAAAAAGTCAACACATCCATTGAGCAGACCGCAGGTTTTTCTGCAATTTTTCATAATATTTATACCTCCCCTCACTCCATCGGACTCCTGTATAGATTCTCTTACCTCCAATTCCTCATCCTTTTTACGCAGAGCAGCAGAAAGATCATTCTCCATTTTCTCAACGGCTGAGGTGTCACAGCTGTCCTGCAAAGGAGTTCTGTTGCTTTGGAGCTGCTCGATAACGGCATCCTTATTTTGCAGGGAAATGCTTAACTGTTCAATAACCCTGTACAGAAAAAGAATTTTAGCAGCTTTGGACAGCATTTATTTTGCTTGTTCATGCATTCAACAACTACGAAACAAAAGGAATCAAAACTCTTTGCCTGTTTTCTGCATTTAATGTATATACTGATACTTTTTGGCGACCATTTTGTATTGACTGTGAAGCTGCAAGACGGAAAACAAAAAAACGGTTTTAAAAATAAGGATAACTCTCTTATTAGTAAAATATTTTATTATAATGAACAAAAGTGTAGGTTATAAAATATATTTTATTGCAGTCAACGTTTCATCGCCAGTTCATTAACCTTAGGGTAAGAATCCAGAGCAAAACCAAAACCCAGCACTGCTCAGGCGATGCATATCCAGGAAACAGAAACCAGAGTTGTTTTTAATTATTCAGCTAAAAAAGAATACATTACAATCACAGGAAAAGTGTACTGTTGTGTAAGTGTAAATCTTCTTTGAATTTAACCACCGAACTGATGCTTCTGTTAAACGAGAAGAGGGTTGTATTCTTCATCTGGCTCCTTTTAAAATATAAAGATTTGTTCTGAAATGCAATCATTTAAAGGTAAAGGTAAGGTAAAACATACCTTTCTTTTTCCTCCAAGCGCTTTTGCATATCCTGACTTGGGAGAGATCCCAAAGGAGCTGAAATGCTAAAGGCCAATAAGCGTTTCTCCATATCCATGTTCTGGACTTTCTCTTGTTCAGCGATGGCAGCCATTTTTTCAACCTCATCTTGGGCGGCTTTAAGCTCCTGTCCAGGGGGAAAAATGAGCATGACATGGTCAGTTACAGGGAAACAGCAGGCTTGATGGCAAAGCCTAACCAGGCCTCTCACAGATGCGTCTAGCATCTCGTCGATGACAAACAAGCACCTCTTCCAGGCGTTCAATCTTCTTGCCAAAGAAATCCTTTAGCTGCTCCACCTCCTTCACTGCCAGCTCTTTGACACGGCGGATCTCGCCACTGCCGTTCCCAGCCAGGCTTTCCACAGCTTTCCTGTGCAACACAAGGTACGCTTCAGCAAGGGCTGCCTCATAAAGCAAACGTTGAGCAAACCCAGAAATGAGAACATCTAAAACAGCGCATAAGGATATCTCAACGAGACGGTTTTCAGTTTAAAAATATGTGAGGGGAAAGATGAAGATGCCCCCCAGTTGAGGCAAAGTGTTTGTGTTTTACTATCTGCTTTACAAAGGTGAGAGAGCACTTTTTTTTTCTTTTGGATTTCCACATGCAATGAAATGCAGCTTCACTACCCACCCCTATACTGACTACAAAGCGCCCACAATTTAAGTGAAATGAAAGAAGCCGTTTTCTACGATTCAGACAATAAAGACAGATGTTCCTTAGCCCACAACAACGCATCTGGACACTTACGATGCAGTGACCAGCAGTGCCTGCTTCTCCTGGAGGTCACGTTTCAGGCTTTCCACTTCCACTTTCAGTTCAATATTCTGAGGCAGAAAGAAACAGAATATTTGTTTTATTGCGGGACAAAGAAGAAAAAAGGAACTCCGGCAATTGATATTGAATCTGAAAAAAAAAGTGCAGTTGAGACAAAGACATTAAATCTCAATTTTGGAGTACATAGGCAAAGATATTAACCATCATACTACATTATAAAAAGGCTATGATGGCCATTTAAAATAACAAAAAAGAACACTGCCTGTGGATTGATCTACTTACAATAACTACGTAACAGGAGTTAAATGGACAGTCAAAAAATAGCTTAAATTAGCAGTGATTAAAAGGGTCCAGTGTCTCCATTCATTATAACATAGCTGCTTATTTCTTGTAAGGGCTGTGGCTGTGCAGGGTAAAGGGAGGACTGTGTTTCCGATGAGATGCCACATAATGGGCACACAGAGAACCACAGTGGAATGATTCTGGGATACCAAACAAGCCATTATTTCTTTGGAAGGTAGAAGGAAACCAAAGCACCCAGAGAAAGCAAATAAAAAAAAACTCCATATAGAAAGCATCTCTCTCTACAATAAAACCCAGGAAATTAACAGAATCACAGAACCTTATTAGCGCCACGGAGAAAAAAGTACCATTGGCTTTAACAACAGTAGAATATCGTCACACTCCTCCTTTTTGGGAAAAAAAATAATCTAGAGGAGCATGTGTTCTGTTTTTGTATACATGAAGTAAAACACCGTGTCAGTATGCATTCCCAGGTTAAACGCGTGTGTTTGTCGCCGTTTCTCTGACAAGTAGAAATGACACCAACCGTATACTATTCTTGTGAAACTGCAAAAACACGTACTATACATGTGTGTTTGCCGACTCTTTAAACAATGAATGGAATACATTTACGATGACCTGACAGTCAAATATAATACCTACTTGTTGGCTTACCGTTATTGTTAGTCAATCGTTAATTCCACAAAAGCTTTTAGACTACAGTATGCTGACATCAAATGCTTTTGAATTTGGAATTACACAGAAAAATGCAAGGAAAGGTGTATTTTGAAGGGAGAAGAAACAGTATTTGTGTGTCCGGTTGCACAGACGTGAATGTAAAGAAATAGGGTTATGCCAAACACCAAGAATTCCAGGACGGAACACAACCCTTTACACAGTTTGTACGTTGTTGTCTTGCCGTTTACTGTTACAAACAGTAACATATAACAGTTGGTGTTATGCATTCCTTTCAATATTTAAAGAGCAGGCAAAAACCTATGTATATGACAGGTTTCTGTTGCTTTATATCAAGAAGAACATACGTTTGGAAAGTCGTGTCACTTCTACTTGTCAGAGAAACAGCGAAAACACGTGTTTAACCTGAGAATGCATACGGGCACGGTTCTGTACTTCATGTGTACAAAAAACAGAACACACGCTCCTTTATATGAGTTTTTTTCCCCAAAAAAGGAGTGTGACGATATTCTACTTTGCGTGGGACAATATCATTGCACATACAGTACAATGCCATGTACAGCATCAATACAGCAGGCTACGTTGTTCACAAATTATTGTGTTTAATCATTTTCTCGAATAAACAAGTTTTTTTTTTCTCCGTGGTGCTAATAAGCTTCCATACAAAATAGCTGAAAGTCCTATGTAAAACTATTTGTTCCAAGTGCCATTTCAAATAGGCATTTTTCAGAACAAAAAATCCAAAGAGACATTTCAATCATTAGACAACAAAAGCAGTGATGGCTGTAGCTCACCGTCTTGTAGATATCTTCACTGGAATCATCAAACTTCTGTTGCATGCGCTCTTCCATGAAGTAGATGCGAAGCTTAAGATTGAAATTTTCTTTCTTCAGATCAGTGATTTGCTACAAGACACGTCATTTGGAGAATATCAGGTCAGATGTCACTGTATTTGTGAACTAAGAATGAAAACTGTAGATATTAGTCTCAGGTTCTCATTTTATGTTGGTTTCGAGAAAAAGAAGGGTTTGTGTACCCCATGTGCACCCAATGGGCAGTTTCTTTCAAAGATATTTCTCTTGAAATGCAACTTCATTTTCTTACATGAATATTCTCATAAAAGAATTCAGCTGATGCCCGGTACTGAAAATATTTAATGGATTTAAAAGACACTTTTTGTTAGGATAAAGAACATATTCCTAGTGAGAGTTCAGACGAAATGTAAGCACTTAAGGAAAAGTTGCAGAATACAGGCAAACTGAAAGGAACACCAACCATACAAACCCCATTCCTTTAAAAATCTAACATCTGGCACTGCATTTTTTGTGTACACGTCTCACTTACGTCATACTGCGAAATACACTACTTCTTTTGCAAACTTCCTTAAAACAGGTTGTGAAATGGAGCTGCACACAACGATAATTTGAGAAAATGTGAAACTGACAAACGTTAGGAGCAGTGAAAGGTGAGCAAGGGAAGAGCACATGAAAACTATAATAAATTAACTATACATAAGTTATAAACGTCAGATTCGTTTTTTTTTTCCTCTATGGAGGACTGCAAGACCATCCACACATTAATAATGTCCGGTGCACCATTTGCCGATTGCCCTGGGATTCGGCACAGGCTGTAACATTTCCATGGACTACAGAACTGCAGCTGGGGGAAGGGTGAGGTCAATCAACAGAACTGCTGTGCTGCCAGAGGCAGTATTACGCAATCAGTAGTGACAATTCTGTTTGCACATGTAACCACTGGGGCCTACCGTGTCCCAGATTCTCTGTCCACAAGCAATGGGGACGGAGATGTGGAAAGAGGCTAGAAACTGGTCTGAGATTCCACAGGCACCTTACAACCTTGACAAACTATTATCTCAACTGATCTAAAAAGAACACACAACAAACACAGCACATCATTTGGCTGCTATAACAGTCTTACTAAAATGATTAACCGTTTAGCACGTTTTCTTCAGAAAGTTGCCTGAAATGGTACAAAGAAAGGCTTGCATTAGGTAGGCTCCTGAGGCAAAATCTTCAGGAAGAAAATACATCATTGCTATACAAGCAAGGAGGGTCCAAGAAGGCGTATAATTGGATGCAGCCAAACTATTCAGCAGGCCACCAACAAGATCTCTCTGAAACCATTCCAATCACTAATAAATACTACAAGTTTCCGAACATATGGATCCACTTGAAAACGCGGCGTGCTTCTGACTCCTAGACCAGAAGCCTGATGATCTATTTTAAATAAATAACTGTATTCTAGAAGTAGCAGTATGCCTCTAACATATGACTAACGCTGCTCTTTGGAGTCATTTTAAGGTAATGGTGTCCAAAAAATTCTACCACTAAATGCTAAATTTATTTCTCTTGGCAAGACGCCAGTCTACCACAAGGAATGCGGAGGCCGGTCTCATCTGAGTGATGCTTTCTGAATGTGGCTGACTGCATTCGGGCGCCTGATTTTCATTCTCCGCTTTTTCAGAGAAAAGAATTTCGGATTAAATATGCATATCAGCTCTAATGAGACACCACGGCCTGGTTAATTGCCACACACCTGATCCTGTTTGAGGAGGAAGCAAATGGCACATGAGCACCCACATCAATTAATTAATAAGCGGTCAGCTGGCCAAAAACAGAACAACTACAGGAATTAATTCAAACCACTCCTTCACAATGAAAAATGCACACTCGTAAATTCAGTCATGAGACATTACTGATGTAACATTACCCTATTAAATCTACTAGTTTTTCATTATATTGAAAGAGCTCAATAATGTTTGAAGTGTGAAAACCTACAAGGACAGTCCAATACTATACAAACAAGCTAATTCTGGAGTCTTCAGCTACAGTACGTAACAGTTGTGATCTTTCAGTGTACATGGCAAGGCCCTGCATGAAGAGCCTAACTTCAGCTACAGACCATAGGAATCTCAAAGCAATTTAACAGACCAAACCTCGTCCCATCCCAAAAACTGCAAAAGAACAAACCCCTACTTGACTGTAGATTTCCACTGGGTACAAACAGCACCCCCCTGGCAAGCAAATCAGCCGTCAGAGAGGTTCAAATTGTATCATTTGTGACTGTTGGAATATGGATTCAAGATGGACTAAATCTGAAGTCTTACCACGCAGTTTTGTATAGAACACAGCCTTTATGGCACAAAGTTAATTTCCTTCAACAAACAGAAAAACCCTCCTTTTTAATTTTACTTTCTCCACTTCTCTTTTTTTTCATATAATGGTGCGCCAAACCCAACATTTTTTAAAATAACACGGCTCTCCCTTGAACATCCAACACCAAAGAGTTCAGTGGTCTCGCTTACGTTTTCATACTCTTTCATGGTCCGAGCTTTGGTGGGTGACATTTTCTCCCCCAGAAGTGTGGACACTGATAATGAGGGAGAAAAAAAAAAGATGAAAAAAGCCTCAAATACAGTATAATAAAAATGTAATGTATTTTCACATAAAAGCCATTTCATAGACTCTAATTTTCAAAAATCACTAATGCACAATTTGCATATTGATATACATGGCCTACAATCAGCAAAACACTCATAGCCCCACTAATTACAACTTGTTTAAACTACCTTGCTCTTTCCAAAACACGTCACAAACAGCATTTCAGTTGAAACCCATTATCTAACAATTTCTTGCATTAGGAATGATCTTTTCACATACCCCAGCTTGCTCTCTGAGACACACAGACACACAGACAGGGAGAGAGAGCCTGAGGTCAGAGCGCAGGGTTTGCCATTGTACGGCAACCCTGGAGCAGTTGGGGTTAAGGGCCTTGCTCAGGGGCCCAACGGAGTAGGATTCCTCTGCCGGCTGCGGGATTTGAACCAGCAACCTTCCAGCCACAGGCGCAGATCCTTAGCCACAGAGCCACCACTCCGCCCAATTTACAATACATAGGTTGATAAGCCTTACTCAATTGTAGAGTTGTACTTACTTCTTATTACAGATACTTATGCTAGATGTGTGCTATAAGAATCACCCTGATAGCATCAGACATGTTCCAACAATTTAGCCTTGCTCTAAGGCAATAACAGAAGAAATTTCTGGAAGTCCCCACTGAGTCTTACATTTGGTAAATTTGGAATCAGTCCTCGTGTATAATAAGTGAGTCCCTCACAAGAGTGAAAGGATATTATTTCAGAGATCTCACCCAGCCTTTAAAAGCTTATTTTACATCTGTACCTGGCACGTGATCCATCAAATATTCACTGTGGTCCACAGCTTCTACCTCGGGGATCCGAGACATATTGGTGCTACGGAGAACAAAATTCAGTAGTTAAAAGAATTTGTATTGTATTTTTTTTATTTTTAATGTAAATTAGATTCAGTTCCTATTTTGCATCAGGGAAAAATTTAGTTTTTTTTTCTAGCAAGATCTTCGCAAGATTCATATAACTTAAATTAATGAGACAAAAAGGAAACACTGTAAAGGTAATTTTTATCAATAACTAACTAAAGAAACATTACATCCAATAACATAGACTAGCAATCTGAAATCAATTCTACACTAATCACAATAAACAAAAAACTTTTTAAAACCTACTTTTTATAAGATCTGCATTTCTTGTCTCCACTGATTACCTTTCCAGACACATTCACAGAAATATTTTTTAAAACAACAGCAGACCGTTTAATGTGACTTTAAGATGAGTTATGATTGTGTTAAAATCCTGTTTTCATGGTAACTGGATACTTTGTGAGGTAGTTACATTTCAGCCAATCAGAGCTCAGAGGCATCACGCACGGTGATGACGTCACAACGTGGACATGACAAACCACAGCTGAAAATAATTATAATACAAACATTAAGGGAACATACAGGATGAAATACGTCATTCTCATTGTTTTCATCAATATCATGGAAAATACCATAATTTATTTACAATTTATTGGAACAAAGATAAACATATATGCTACAGATTTAATTATTACTCTGCTTTAGATTTGTGTTCTTTCTACAGCTTATTTGATAGCTGCAATTTCCAAAAGCAATAACCATTTTAGCTTTACAAATTAAGCTTGTCTTGAAATAAAACTACAAGATAAAACATTTTCTAGTGTCCTACAATACCACGTTTTATCAAAAAACAGATTATAAAGTTGCTCCTCACCAGTATTTACAACGCTTATCACACACCTCTTTAAAAATGGAGTAAATCGATGTAATTCATTATATGGCAAATATTTAATGGATTAACCTTAAATCCAATCGGTGATCTCTATCTATGGAGCATGGAAATGTCACCTACATGCTCCTTTTAGAACCTTTTTCCGAGCTCTCCAACAACAGCTTATGCAATAAGTCATAGCTGTTTGTTCATCATGACAAAACTCAAGTTTAATCCTTCTTTTTTTGTTTTTGTCACTTCACAATATATAATGCATTTCTGGTACAGAAAAGAATTCAAGCACCGTGTATTTAAAACGTGTTCATTTCATGAAAGGAAAACATAGGACTGGTAACTGTGATGGCTTTCGCCAAATTCAGAGAGCACGTCTAGACTCGGCACAAAACATCTAAGCGTCAATAATGACAATAAAATGAAAATCCTTCCAAGGCATATAACATGCTTTGATATTCAGTCTTACATCCGTTCAACTTGCACAAAAATAGACTGCCCAAACCATTATTACCCTGTTAACTACACCTAGCCCCAAATTATTTTAAAACGTTTATGACCACTGCAGAAATTATTCATATACTTGACGACTTTACCCTGTAATGGTTTTGTTTGAACAGCTCTGGCATATACTACTCTTAAATGCGAGGCAGAGTCAAATTTCTGAGTCAAGAAATGAACACCTCACCTATAGTATCAGTTACATCTCGGATTACCACGATAGCTACCTGGACGACCTGGGTAAGACATGTGCTTTTCAGACTTCATTTATTCATTAAGCCAAAACCTTTGCACGATAAACACAGCTCATTCTCAGATATCGTAAAAAAAAAAAAGGCAGAGCTATTGAGGTTCGCTCCCATGTTATTCCTTGAGGGGGTTCATATCCAATCGAGGGTTTATTTTTTGCAGAGCAGACAGAAAAAAAAAAACCAAGTTGACCCAAACAACACAAACTACGACACACACACTGCTGATAACGCTAGTTAACCGATTCCCAAGTACTGAAATAAATGAAATATGCATCTGTCGCTCGAGAAAAGTCGGGCTGACGTACCTGAAAAATTACATACTCCCGATGGGCTCTAGATCTTTATTTTTAAAATAAAACGGAACAAGTGTGATACGTCGCGGCATCTAAACAACACAATTTCCCCTTGCTTTCTGTAACAGTTTCCGCTTTTTCAACCCAACCATCAGCGGCTCAGCCTGAGCTATATCGAAAGCGTCATTCCGAAAACTTTTTTTCGGAGGCTGTTTTGCAAGAGAAGTATTTGCCATGACAACACGTCAGACTGCAGAAGAGCAGGGATGTGATAACTGCTGCCCTAGTGTTCACGGTCAAATACTGCAAAAAAAACCCCAGAATGATTCAAATATTTCGCAGGATAAGCATGGAAAACAACACATTAGAACACTAACAGTGTTCGATTTCGTTTTCTCCAGCTGACGAAACCGCGTAACGTTATTTAATACAATCCTATATTTAGATCATGACTCGCTTCTTAACTGTTAATAATAATTACATTTCCCGTAGCCTTCATTTGTTTACCAAACGCCACTTAATAAATAACTTTACTCGTCCTTCGCTCTGCTCGCTTTTAATTTTCATTGAATTGCAAATTCATTATAAAAGGGACAGCGGCGCTGTGTAGAATTTGACAAAAAAAAATAGTGAATAACATTTTAAACCAGCGTGAAAACACCTAATAAATGTAACACACCGAACAGCACAATTTATATGGACTAAGGCGGTCTATGACAGTTGGTATTTGAACTCACGGACGCACCCAGCAGGTATAATTAAGTTTTTTTAAAAATACAGAAAGGTGGATGTGAATAAAAAGTACATTAACTTACCTCGCATTGAAATCAAGAGGGAGCGTCGGATCTTCCCCCACAACAGAGTCCATAATTGATACGTACTTACTACGGCTCCCGATTGTACATATTCAGGTGTAATTAATACTCCGTGGTTGGGCGGCTATTTTAAACTTTATACTAGGGAGGTAAAATTCAAAGCGATCGTTACTGCCGCCATTTTAGTGCCGGTGACGTCACGATCGGTGTAGCGTTGGAAGTTAGAGTCTGTGCCTACTTGGCCACGCACATTATCTGAAAAAGATCCATGCTATTGGTCACTGTAATTAAACCTCTTGGCCGTGATTGGAGCTTTTATTTTAATAAATTCATACTCGTACATCCCCCATAATCATAGGGCTCAGTGAGGATGATGTATTCTCTGTTTTAAAATCCGTGGTATGTGGTTTCCGATGTCAGATAAAAACAAAACATCAGGGCTGTATAGAGTGCTCAAACTGTGCATTTCACAAGTTGTCAATTTCCATCACATTTATGTAAGTATGCAGCTCAGTCCGTGAAATATATGTATGTGATAATTACATTTTTTAATCAACTGCATATCTTTATTATTCTATATGGAAATATATTTTATCGTAATCGGAGAAATAGAAAATTTAAGCCTCCTGTTTTTAGAAACAGAAAACGTCTAAAGAAAATACTCTCTTATTTTGTATTTGCCTGGCTCTGCATGGCTTGGCACCTCAGTACCCGTTTGAACTATTATCGCCCTACTCCCCACCTCACAACCTTCGCTCTTCTAACTGCTCTCCTTACTGTCCCCCAAGCCCGTCTACATCGTATGGGTGACAGGGCCTTCTCCTGCTACGCCCCCAAGCTCTGGAACTCTTTGCCCAAGGATATCGGAGAGTCTCCTTCTCTAAACTCCTTCAAATCCAGACTCAGAACCCTCTTCTTCAGAAAAGCCTTTACTTAACTGGTTCCATTCTTCACCCCTCTGCTTTTCTTATTACCACTATCCACGGTCCCCTCTATTGTAATTGTTATAATTGTATATTATAAATGTGTCTTATCTTGTGTATTACTTATTTATTGTTGTATTCCTCTTATTTATTGTTATTGTCATCCTGTAAGGCGCTTTGAGAAGCCACCTTTAAAGGCGCTATATAAAATAAAGTTTTTTATTATTATTATTATTATTATTATTATTTTAGACTTCGGAATGTCGACTTGTCTACCAGATGCGGAACTACTGTGCTTGTTGTGATATTTCCGGTAGGAACAGTTTGTGAGAAGGACCACAATATCTGCGTTGTGGAAAATTCGAAAAGTCTGCGAAATGGTAATTTAATAAAATCTATTGTTTTTAGCATTTAAACCGTAATAATCATGGAATCTGTTTTTGGTTATATACCTTTTTGATAAAATACAATGTTATTCAAACCATCTATTTGAAATATAAATGATACTAAGCTTTATACGCCGAACTACAGTTGAATACTTTTTCTGTACAAAATCGTAACGATTTCAATTCTGATCGTTGTTTTCTTTAACGTTAATAATCTTCTTCTGTGTTTTTATTTTATAGGCAGTTACGTTGAACACAGACCTGGGAGACATTAAAATCGAGCTGTTCTGCGAGCGTTCTCCGAGAGCGTGCGAAGTAAGTTCAATTAATACAATTTTATGATACTGTACAGAAATATCTGCTGCCGGTTAGGTTCCTTACCGCATTACACGTTTAAGATGTTGTATTTATTTTCTAATTTACAGAATTTCTTAGCTCTGTGTGCCAGTGGGTTCTACAATGGTTGCATTTTTCACCGGAATATCAAAGGTTTTATGGTTCAGACGGGCGATCGAACAGGTAAAGACATTTAAATTACCAAATGGTCTCATCTGTCTTGTGTTAATTCTTTATGTTAGTGTTAAAGTGACAGGCCAACGTGACTGATGTAGTTTTCTTATTTCACTAAGTGTAGATTCAGTCATGCTTGAAAGTTTGTAAAGCCATTGCATAATTTGAGAGTGTTTTTTTAACCACAAAATGCATATTTAATCAGAATTGGTCACTTCCTAATTGAAATAAAGTATAATTATTCACCACTCTGAGTGTTTTGAAAGAAAATCTCCATGCAGCAAAATAATACACACAGTATACAGAAATTGTGCAGGTGAAAAAATAAGCGAACCCATAGTTCTATGACTTACATCAAGGGGAAGCAGGATCGGGTGGGTCAATGACAGTCTTAACCAATTAACCAAGATAACCAATGAACTTGAAGATCTGAAATGATGTGTTAGGGAGGAGCAAACATAAACAATTGCAAGAAAGCAGGTCAGTTACTCTTCCTATGAGTCTAGCATCATGCCTCTAACTAAGGAAACATCAGCAGAACTGAGGAAAAAAGTAGTGGTTGCTCATCAATCTGGGCAGGGTTATAAACTACATAAATCCACTGTTTGGCAAATAGTATACAAGTGGAGGGCATTTAAAACAATGGCGACCCTGCCAAGAAGTGGACATCCTCCTACAATTTCACCCAGGGCCACAAGGAGAGGTGATCCTAAAATAACATCCAGAGATCTATAAGCCTCCCTGACTGCCTCTGGAGCAGTGGTGCATAGATCAACAATAAGAAGAGCCCTGAACACAAATCCCATCTATGGAAGGGTCGCCAGGAAGAAGCCTCTTCTGTCAAAAATGGAACAAAGCTGCCCGTCTGAAGTTCGCCAGAGACCACCTGGACAAGCCTGAAGAGTCCTGGAAGTCTGTTCTCTGGACACCATGTTAAGCACGGTGGTGGGAGTGTCCTTGTACAGGGCTGTTGTTCTTGCTCTGGCCCTGGGCAACTTGACGTCATTGAGGGAATCATGAATTCTGAGAAATGTCAAGGAATTCTTGAGAAGAATATCAGGCCATCAGTTCGAAAACTCAAGCTGGGCACGAAGTGGATGTTTCAACAAGACACAGATCCTAAACATTCAAGTAAGTCCACTAAAGAATGGCTCAGAAAGAAGAGGTTCTGTGTCCCGGAGTGGCCAAGCCAAAAGCCTGACCTGAATCCTATTGAAATGCTGTGGCAGGACCTGAAGAGGGCTGTTCATCCAAGACATCCTTCAAACCTCACAGAGCTGGTGGAGGTTTGTAAAGAGGAGTAGGAAACAATCCTTCCAGTAAGATGTCAGAGACTTATAATTGGTTATAGGAGGCGACTGTGTGAAGTTAATATGCTAAAGGAGGTGCCACAAGTTTACTTTTGCACACAAGAATATCTAGTGATTTGTTTAATATCACAGTCTAATAATCTATTAGTTCAAATCCTTTTTTATGTGTGGGAAGTCTTTATTTAGGATATTCATTAAGAGTTCAGGTTCTGAAGACTAAGGAAGTCGTTATTTAGGATATCCATTCTTCAGGTGACCTGAAGAAGGCTCCACGGCTGAAACGTTGTGTTCTCTTTCTTCTTTTTTTCAGCATGGGATAAACCTATAACTTGTTCCTTTGCAGCCTACGCATGCTGACGCAGCTACCCACCTGAACTACTATCCATTCTATATATTCATTAAGAGTTCAGGTTCATATAATATCTCTATAATATCTAAAATAATAACCACCTTGAAGGGTTTCAAAATTTTCAAGAATTACTGTATTTATACAAAGGCCCACAGCAAATATTCTGTCAAAATCAATAACATCCAAAAAGTATGCATACAATGTTTTGTCTTTATACTTTTTAATAAAAATCATTTTACAATGATGACACCACCAAAACTATTTAGTCTCTACTTTAGCTTATAGTAAAGACTCAGTATGGAGGCTTATAGTAAACGTTACAGTTTAAAATTATATTGTGAAATAATCTCTGTTAAACACAACTGATATATTAGATAATAAAGCTGCATTCTTGTTCTGTGCAGGTACAGGAAAAGGTGGAACAAGTATTTGGGGGCGGAAGTTTGAAGACGAATTCAGTGAACATCTTAAGGTGAGAACGCCTTGAGTTGCGCTGGTGATTCTAATAGAATCTTGGAGTTTTTCTGGAAAAACAAAGTCTAGCAGAGGAAGTAATGTGAACAATTTCACCTTTCACCAAATTCAAAAACAGAATCCGTGGAAATGCTTCTAATGTTAATGGGATATAATCGCTTCTCTGTGTTCTGCTGGCTGTTACTCAGATGTGAAATCCAGTGTCCCTATGTCTTATATGTATGGTGTTATTTTATTTTATAATGTCCTATATTTATATAAAACATCCTTTTATAATATTTATTTTAGCACAACGTGAGAGGAGTTGTGTCCATGGCAAACAATGGCCCAAACACTAATGCCTCCCAGTTCTTCATCACGTATGCCAAACAGCCTCACCTTGATATGAAGTATACAGTATTTGGAAAGTAAGTTTAAGAATTTGGAATGTAAATTTTGTTCTTCTCTTACATGACCTCGGTTACAGGGATTAGCTCCACTCATTGTTCGGGGGGTGTTAGTGCTGAATTCTCAAAACTACAAGCAGTCGATGCAAAATGTTCGTCAGAAGAATTGTCCTGTGTGTTTAAAGAGGATCAGCCTCTGACACCACCTCGGTATGATGAATCTAGGAAATAACCAGTCACACAATAAGACTATGTGAAGTAATTGCACACTGTTAGAACACTCCAAAATTAGTTTATTGAATTAAGAAAAGTAGTGTGATTAAAACATAAAGGAACCATGCATACTGCTCATATATATCTAGATTATGTTTGTAGATACCACTAAAAATGTCCTCTTGTATGTCTTGTTTCCATTATATCATTATGTTAATTAATGTAAAAGAATAGTTCCAAAATGTAACCTTCTGCAGATAAACCACTGACATTCATATTCATTTAATAGGAGAGTATAGTATTGGGAAAGGGGAGTATAAGTTATGTGATGATCCTGTTGCCATATTTGTCTTCTGTGGACATCTTTAATGTCTGAGCTGTGTGACCTTGGAAGTTAAACTGGTAACCTTAAGAAAACACTAGGTCCCTAATTGTATTTCATTCTTTTTTTCTTCAGGGTAATAGATGGCTTGGAGACGCTGGATGAATTGGAAAAGCTGCCAGTTAATGAGAAAACGTTTCGGCCGTTGAATGACGTTCGGATTAAGGATGTTACTATGCACGCTAACCCTTTTGCGGGCTAGTCTCCAGCTGCCAGCAGTGTGCCTCAGCCACCGTTACAAAACAACATTATTAAAACTTCTGGATGCAGACAAATATCTGCAGGGTCTGTAATGTTTGCAGTTACGTTATTGTATTACTTGGAAAGAAATCTTCACAACAGGCCCTTGTTCCACTTCTTTATTTTTTCATATGTGATGTTTTGGTTTAATTTATATTACATTTAAAATAAACCTTTTTTTTTAAGTATCACAGTGTTGTAATGCAGTTATTAAAACAAGAACAGTTGTGTTTTTTATGCACAATGCTGATTAGATTATACACATACGTGACTATCCATTCCATCACAGATGTTAATGCATCCCTTTCACCTGTTTGGCAAAGTAATAAGAGTTATTGCCATTTTGGTTGTTGGACATGAATGTGGTATCTCATCTAGAGATGTTCTCATCTAGAGAACATCTAGAAAAAAAGGTAATCAACTTATAACCAATCAATTTAAAGAAAATAATTCACCAACTACACAGTACATCACATTGTGAATTAACTAAAAGGAAAAAAAATGTGTTATCCTAAATGATATCCTTTCTGATAAATAGACAAATCGGAGCCGTGCGGTCAGAAACGTGGGGGTAATCCATCACTTTTGTCTACTGGAAATTGACGTTTATCCGCATTTAAATGCGCTTTAATCTCTTACTACTGTTCACTGAACTGCAGATACTTATCGAGTGGTTTTCATTTCCACATAAGCTCTCCATTTTTTTTCGTTTAAATTTCCCGTCAAGTGCCTTTTTATAGTCGAGCAAAGAAATAAATTCTACTAATCGATGTTTTCCCATTGAGATACCAGAATCCCCAGATTCGTATACAAATACTTGTGAAATTACACATCGTGAAGAATTCAGCACTTCAATCTAAACAGAACATATAGTTTGTTTACTTGTGATTTGTTTTGAAATCACAAGTGAATTACAACGTTATATTTGTCTTTCAAAAATGTACACGCATACTTTGTTGCCGGACTGAAATATGCACCTTGCTATACCAAGCTGACACATCACTAAAGTTGTCTTTTCCATGGCAATGTCGCTTTGTGATGAGGTCATACAAATGCCGAGCAGGCAGTTTCGGAATCAGTGGTTGAGACTGTTGAATTTTATTGCTTATTGAGCTGTTAGCATTAAATCACTTTTTATTTTTTAATCGATTCATGAAACATGGCAACCGAAGACCCTTTTAAGGTAGGCAAATACCGGCAATACGACCCAATACCCTGCCAGCATCGCGCTCTTTCAGCTTCTGGTAATAAGCACGTTTTAACGTTACAAGAGTGTACAAGGGTAATGCACCGTACCTTTACGAAAGTGTGAAATTCGCTGCCATTATGCTAGCCTGTCAAAGTTTTACAAATTTGGTCAACCTTAGCCTACTCCAGACAATCTTTTCATCTAACCCACCGTAAGTCACTATCGACAGTCTCAATCAGATTAGTTTTTTTTTTAGTTGCAAGCAAAACGTCATATCTAGAAAGCCAGATTTTGATATTCGGTACCTTTCTTTGCCTTGAACCAAACTCTTCCTTTATCGGACAAACGTCGCACCCGAGAGGTCAAATACTGGTTCCTGTTTGATCTGTCTGCTAATACATTTTCAGGTTTCCTCGCTCAAAGGAAAAGTGGCTCTAATTACTGGAGCCAGCTCAGGAATTGGGGCAGCAACCGGCATTCTGTTTGCCGAACTGGGAGCTTTGCTGGCGCTTAATGGGCGTGATGTGGAAAACCTGACCAAAATAGCCCAGCAGTGCACAAATGCAGGAGGAACAGAGGTAAAGAGCTGATTTGTATATTATATATTTCTGTTGTGGCCCGTCCGATCCTCAACAGTAAACACCATCAAGCAAATGAGGGCTGATCTTGCTCAATTGCTGCAGAAGTGTTCCTGTAAAAACACTACCTAAAATACCCAGACGTTTCTTAGAGAGATTATTTTGGAAGGAAGGGGCTAAATCTCATGTTTCAGGACTGCTGATTAAATTTAACCTGGCTCGAGTAAGACGGGCAAAGAATTAGGCCTCCCTCACAAAATAATTTCCTAATAAAAGTAACGGCCCAGGGCTTTTTCCAGAAGAAAACTCTACACCCTGGAAAAGACAATATTTACCTCTCTCTTACTTTATCTGTTGTCTGTAGCTCAAGAAGAATACTATTCCCAAAGAGTCCCTTTCCCTAACTTTATTATTATCAATATAATAATAATCATGATGGGTGAAAACCAAGGGTAAATTTGGCCAGGATGCCGGTGTAACACCCCTACTCTTGTCAAGAAACTCCCTGGAATTTTTAATGGCCACAAAGAGACAGCACCTTGGTTTTACGTCTCATCTGAAGGATGGCACGTTTTTACAGTGTAGTATCCCTGTCACTATACAAGGTGAGCGCCCCCTACTGGTCCCAATAATGACTCCTTCCAGCAGCATTCCCAGGAGTCTCCTATGCAAGTACTGACCAGGCTCACGTCTGCTTAGCTTCAGCAGGCTGCTAGTTGTGAGTTGCAGGGTGATATAGATGCTGGCTTAAATTTAATTTAAATGTTTAAAAAAAGGTTTGACTCTTCTTGCAATAATCAATACACCATACAACCTGATCTGTGCAATGGAGGCCTTTAAAATCCCGCCCAATAAAGCTAATACTTATGGACAAATCCACAGGTATCTGTACACTGTCTCATAATATAAAATTATCTGAGTACTACACGTTGATGTAACGCAGCACCAAGTTTCAAGCATTGTTTATAGAATTATTTTTCATTGTTAATCCTAAGACTAAGGAAAGAAAAAACAATGTTCATTATTCACCTCTGTTAGTATAGCCTAACAAGAGAACAGGTAAAGGTTTATTCCATGCTGAAAGGAATAGCAAGGAAGAGATGCAACGTTTCGGCGATGAAGGCTTCTTCAGACGTAGAGGCTCCACAGCCGAAACATTGCGTTTCCTTTTCAGCATCGAATAAACTTTTACTTGTTCCTTTTCAGCTTACGCATGCTGATGCAGCTACCTACTTGAACATAGTCTAACAAGAGCTCAGATTCCCTTGTGGGAATGAGGGTTAAAATAACCTGCACCTATAATATACAGTATAACAATATCTGAGAATATTTGGGACCATTTCAGAACATGTGGGCATATTTGGAAGGTTCGCCTGTAAATTTTGATTGTCTCTTTATGAAAGTGTTGGAATCTGTGTGAGACTTTACAGGGAGACTGAACTACTCACAGTCCCTGAATCTGTGTGGTCCTCTTTAGCCACTGTTAGTGCCTGGCGACTTGACGGATGAAGACACAGTGAGGAAGACTATCGAGAAGACCATTGCTCACTATGGGAGACTGGACGTGCTGGTTAACAGCGCTGGGATCCTGGCCATGGGCAGCATCGAGACTACAGACATGGCTCAGTACGACCGGGTCATGAACATCAATGTCAGGTAAAGAATGAAACCAGCTTTAGTTAATTAGTGTGATCTGATATTTGGCAAAATGTAGTGCATTTTTATGAAGCTTATCCTTTCAGCACCTTGATTATTAAAGGCGAACTGCAGTCCCAGTCTCTCAGACTGGTTATTAAATTTCGACAACACAATAAATTCATTGACGTTAAAGAAAAATGTTATACATTTTGACTTACAGTAAGCACAAAATTGTGAGCTTTGTGAAAGTACTGTAAGTCACCATGTTATCGCAAACCACAGGTTTCGCTACGTGCGCGAGTTCTCACAAATGGCAATATGTGGCCCTTCCTGCTCACTAGTCACTGTAATGACTAATGTAATGTGATGTACAAGTGCATATGTACAGGTTGTGCAGCAGATATTTCACCGCAGAAATGTTCCAATTTGGTATACATGCAGAGTTAACAAGTAAACAGTATTTGTCAGCAAAATTGTCTCAAAGTCTAGAGCATTATTTCTGTTGGATTAAAAGAGGTGTATTCACAAGCCTGCCTGTTTACAATATTATAGGGCCGCATCACGTCTCCGAAAAATGTTGTTGTCTTGATCTGAATCACAGTATATGGTGTTGCACATATCTGGAAAGTTTCTCTATTTTGTGATGAAAATTGGATGTTTGACAAATTACTGTGGACAGTTTACATTTTTTGTAGTTTGAAATGCACTCATTAGTGCCGATTCTTTCTAACCCCGAAAACTAAAAATAACTTTGTGGTTCCCCTTTACGTGAGTTTACAAAAGACTGCAGGCCATTCAGTCTGTGTCCATTTCCTTATTGATCCAACTTGCAGCCTCTACTATGTGTTATGTTATGGAGAATTTAAAAAGATTTAGTTAGAAGTCAAAATTAGGCAAACACCTGGCAGATCACATTTAATATAGACAAACCGAGTCTTATAGAAAAAGTCTTTAGATATATGTTGAGGGGACAAAGTGGGAAGGCAATACAAAAAGCAAACTGTTAAGAAACTGTTTGAAGTTTAAAAAAAAACAAAAATGTTGTATGCAGGCAAATCTTTATACAAAAGTCTGCATGAAACTGCTACCAGCTGTTGTTGAAGCAAAAGGCTTCTTTCAAGATCAATTAACCACTAGCCACAAAACTTACTGGACCAGCCTGATAGCCTCTTTTTGTTTTGCCCTGTCTGTCATTTTCTTATGTTCATATGTTCTTGAAATATCCCAAGGTGTCAGGTTCAGGAACACAGCCGGTCCATGCCAAAAAAAAAAAAACACTTGGACATAGCAAATAGAGTGTGTAGACTACAGGGAGTTAAGTGTTTTCTGAGTTACAAAGTGCCATTTTGGTGGCATTAACGTTAAGAAAGGCTGGTAACATTTTGAAGTAGGAAAATCCCTCCACTCTCCTGTAGTGTTATTTCTTGTCATAGTGACAGGCATTCTTAACATTCTTCTAGGTCTGTTTATCATCTCACTCACCTTGCTGTCCCTCATCTTATTAAAACGAAGGGCTCCATTGTGAACGTGTCAAGTGTGAATGGGCAACGATCCGTGAGTATCCGTTATCTGCATTTCCTTTTACCTTACCTCGATAGCTTACCTTATTCTCTACTGTGATGTCAAGCACATCATTTTTAACTAACCTTAACTTAACCTTTGCTCTTGATTGTGGGGTCATCCTCTTTAAGGGGTGGAGCGGTGGCTCTGTGGCTAAGGATCTGCGCTTGTGGCTAGAAGGTTGCCGGTTCATATCCCGCAGCTGGCAGAGCATTAGGCTCCTGAGCAAGGCCCTTAACCCCAACTGCTCCAGGGGCACTGTACAATGGCTGACCCTGCGCTCTGACCCCAGGCTCTCTCCCTGTCTGTGTGTCTCATGGAGAGCAAGCTGGGGTATGCGAAAAGATAATTCCTAATCCAAGAAATTGTAAAGGGTTAATAAAGTGATGTTGTAATTATTATTAAATTGTTCCCTTTTCATTTTCTTTGCATTTTAGTTTCCTGGCGTGCTAGCATACTGTATGTCAAAGTCTGCGATTGATCAGTTCACGAGGTGCACAGCATTAGGTAAGATGTAGTTACTGAAAGTAAGCTTTCAGTAAATGCATTTGTTTTCTTCTTAAAAGAATCATGATGCATGATTTTCTTTCAGAGCTGGCTTCTAAGCAAGTACGTGTGAACTCTGTTGGGTAAGTTATAATGTTTTCTGCAACATGTAGCGAATGTATTACTATTCTATCAACAGAGTACAGTACCAGTATTAATTGTAAATTTAACCTCACTAAGACATAAAAATATACTATTAGTTGACTGGGATCTTGCAACACAAACGGTGCAGTTCTAATTGTTCCCTCATAAGCTGAGCAAATGTAATGTCAGGTGGGGGAAGTTTGCACAGGACTGCTTGCTTTTATTCTGCACATTACTGGGTTGACTAGAATGATTTATCAGCATCTCCCAGGTTTTCAAGTACTGCTGCTTTACAGAGACCTAGAAACCCTTTAGACACTCTGTCTTCCCGTGACCTGGGTTCAACTCTTCCCATCATGCAGCGAAAGGCAGGATCATTGGACATGATCCCTGCAAGCTAATTCATCACAGAGTTCATTCCTGTAGCTGAATGTCTTGAAAGATGATGCTGATCCTCACCAGCTGTCTCTGTCTCTCACAGTCCTGGCGTGATCATCACAGAAGTGCACAAGAGAGCAGGACTGAATGAAGAAGAATATGCCAAGGTACCATTACTGCAGGCAATAGCCTATGAGAAATCTAGAGAACCTGGGGAAAACATGGGGGAATAGATACACTAGCACCCCTGGTGCATACTGGTGTTGTCTGTGCTAAATCCTAATGGTCCACAGTGCACTGATCACTTCACTGATGACTGTTTGGATTGATCAGTAACTTCTGAAACTTGTAGCTGGGTCTCATTAACAGTTTAATGCTAGTGTCAGAACCCCAAAAGAACATTTTCATTTGTTCTCACTGTCTGCGTTGAGCTGAGGCAGTTTATCACCTAGAAACAAACCTAGGTACCTAGGAACCTCCAGAAGTATGTCGGGACTGATTTTATTTCTCCTTTCTTCCAGTTTCTTGAGAAATGTAAAGTGACCCATGCTCTGGGCCGCCCGGGGGAGGCAGAGGAAGTTGCACGAGCTATTGCTTTCCTGGCCTCTGATGCAGCTTCCTTCATCACAGGGGTCAATCTACCGGTGGATGGAGGTCGCCACGCCATGTGTCCTCGCTAGGAGGGGTCAAAGGTCAAGCCTTCTTGACGTCGATTTCTTGCCCTTGTAACCTTTTGGATAAAACTATGTCAATTCAGAGTGGAGTGAAGAGAAAAGAGGTTTGAATATTTTAAGATGGTCTTTGGCACTCCTACCTGCTCGTGCTAAATAGATTGTGAGAGAATTAACATAATATTGATTAAACGATACATTTTCAGTGTTTGATGGAATCTGGGTACTAATTTGCCTTGGAAATTAAAATTACAGTACATGAGTTCTGATTTTGGTCACCACCTTGTGGTCAAATGGCAGAACTACTTTATTGTACCTTTTTCTGGGAGTTTTATTCATCAGAATTTGAGTGTGACAGATTTCCAAATTCCAAATTTCCAGTCCTCCAAAAAATATGAAAGGGGTTTCACTACAGCCGTGTATAAGCAGTGATTAACCAGTGTCTTTGCCTAGTTGTTGCTGAATAATCCAGGTCTCATTTGCAATAAGGCATGTGCCCACTTGTCAACTACTACTGACTTAATACCAAAGAAAAAGGGTCCAGCTGCTCAGAGTAGTTTTATCTGTATCAGCAATCTTGCCCTTTAGTTTTAAAAGGTTCATAAAGGTAAAACCTAGAGAGAAGGGTTTTGGAGTCTATAAGCAAATGTTAGATCCACATGATATAGCACAGGAAATTAGACACTTTTCTCCCCAAGTAGACAATATGACCCCAGCTAAAGCATTTTGCTACTTGTTCATGAAATGAATTTTAAACATTAAAGCCCAGTTCATTTGCCTAAGTTTCAAATATTTATTGAACATCTGAACATTGTTAATGCAAGACAATGGAAAGTATTGAAATGATGTATGGAATGGAAACAATAGAGCTACAGAAAGTAATGCAGGTAGATCATAGATGAGCACTGTAACTTCCTGCAAAAAGGTAATGTTGCCTATTTTTTGTTTTTGTCCTGATATGTCAGATACAGACGTGGAAGTAAAACAAAATGCAAAAAAAAAAAAAATGAACTGCCTACCAGGTGTGTTTAAATGTGAGGTATCTGCAATCTTTGTCTTTACTCTAAACATCTGAAATGGAGCAAAAGGCATAGAACGTTCACATATTCTTCATTTTTTCTTTACAAATAAATCCATGATAAGTGAAAAAGCATAGAACACAGTCCCAGTACAGTACAGTTGTGATTATCATGTAGAAAAAAACAAAACAAAAACACTGCAATAAATTTTTCCTCTGGAGTACCAAATTTACACATAAAATAGCATAATTAAACCTTCTATTAACGCCAAGACCAGTTGGGAAACTGATACATAAAAGTCTTGAGAAACAAAATACAATTCTGAACTATTCCCTAAACAAAAGAGAACCTTACTAGGTCAACATAACCACGTTTTCAAAACATTTTAAATAACATTAAATTAGCAGGTAGGATCCACTGTATACAACAAAGCTTGCACAATTATACACATTTTATTTGTTTTCAACAACAACCAAGCTTACTATTAAAACTAAATCTTCTAAGTTTTTTTTAAGATATTAATTACAGCTATGGGGGGTTTTGTACAAAAGAGCTGAAAATATTTTGTTATAAAAAAAAGACTGCTTGTAAAATTGCTTTGCTGAGCCCTATGAATAACAACTGGCAGCACGAAAGATAAATTCAAATCTTTTTTTCCTCTTTTTTAATTTATATAAAAATATTCCCATAAAAAAGTATCGTATGCTCTTAAATTAAAGGCATTTCTCTTGCTAAATAGTGTGAAAAAAAGTTGGCTTAAACCAAAGAACCACAAAAGCCGTTTTTTTCCTATAAAGGGAAAGTAGAGCACCAATTTTTTGTTTTTAAAGATTTTTCCCGAGCACCATATATTGAGAGATGGGAGGTAGACAGAATATCAGAAAGCCCCTTCAGGAGTTACTTCCAATAACTAATCTTATATCAGGAATTTTAATGTGTACAAAACTATAATGATACTGGGTAACTTGACTTGTTCTGCAGCCTTGGGAGTTTAGGCCCACTAGTGTGCAGTTTAGCCGTTGCTGGAATATTGACCCCTATCAAGTAAATAGTTTAAAACTGGTCTGTACACTTCGATGGTCCCAAAGTTGAAATTAATTCAGCACCCCTGAATTGCCTAAAAGTTAAGTAATGCACAAACAAAAGATGGAAAAAAAAATGCTTTTCCTCTTCTATTGCACTTGAAGTGATTTGTTAACATAAGATATATATTTATATATATATTTATACTTTTTAAACAAAAATATGAAGTAGAACCTCAAATCTGAGGGGGAGGGGGGAGAACTGAAACATATATGGAAAGAATAAGTTACAAAATTGTCCCAGAAATATTCTTTGGCTGAGTTTGAGACTGATATTCAAAATTTGCCAACAGAAACATTCCTGAAAGGCACAAAGAGCTTATCTATTGAAGTTTTCACTTGTCCGACAACACATTGTGATTCATGTCGTTCTTGACTTGTTCCTTCTTTCCTGACCTCTTTGCAGCTTCTGCAGTCCATACGTTCTTAACGCGCGTTAAAAACCAGAGTTCAGTATTTATTTTTTTTGTCTGTGAAGACTGTTTGAGGGAAGGTTTGCCATCTGATCTTGAGAGAAAAAAAACAAAAACTCATCTTGTTTAAAAAACTCGAGCTGGGAAGGATCAACAGCGTGGTGCCCGTCAGAGGCACGGCTTTATAGGAAACAGACAGGTCCGACCTCCAGGTGGTAGTGTAATCCAGGTTTCGTGGCTGGCAAATTATAGACATTGACAATGGGAAGTAGGTTTGGGTCTTGAGTATGAAATACAAAATGTGTTTGATGCCATCGGCCATCTTGTATCTGAAAAGGAAGATGGTTACATCATAAAGAAAAGTCCAAGACTCTCTACATCCCTTCTTATGTAAGAGATTCTGTAAAAGAGGAGTAAACCTGGTAGAAATCCAGAATTAAAAGGAAAATAAGGCAGGCTGGTTATCTCAGTCTTTTTTATGGGAACAACAGATTGATAACCAACATGGGGAATGTTCGAATAAAAATACATCCTTCTGCTTTTCACGACAGCTATTGATTACAGATGCACTCCATGTTTGTCTTTTATCCCCTGCTGGTGTGGTTTCTAGTATTAATCTGATCAATCGTACTTGAAGGACCAAAATCAAAATGGCTTATGACATGCTAGTCCTACACCTATATACATGCCAGCTGTGTGCACCGAAATGAAATCTTGTAGGGCAGTGTTTCTCAAACTTTTTCCATATAAAAGATATTAATATACAGTATTATATAATGCCCTCCTCCCCATGTCACTGGCATCAGTCCCCAGTCCTGTAATTGAACAGGTAACGGGTTTATTCCATGCTGAAATGAAAGGAAACACAACATTTCATTAGGTTGAGCTCACACCTGAAGAAGGCTCCACAGCCTGTTTCCTTTCTTTTCAGCGGGGAATAAACCCGTTACCTGTTCCTTTGCAGCCTACGCATGCTGACGCAGCTCCCTTATAAAACTACATATCCTGTAATTGATGACCATCAAACAGCGTTTCTCGGTCGTGTTCAGATGCTCAGTTTTTGTATTTGGGAACCGTGACACACTTACCTCCCATCACACACGATTCTCACATGTTAGAGCGTGGCCTGTCAGGCATAGAGCCAAACGTGCAACACGACACTTTGGTTACTCCATAAAACTAATATACAGTAGGAAGTATAAATGAAAAATTGAAATATTTCTCTCATACTGTACATGAAAATGCCTGGGATGACACCAAGAAATACTGATATAGGGAATGCTATGAAGAAATGTTGCTAAAAGGTCACTTTTAATAGCATATTTTGTGAGCACTCTGCAACAACACCTAGTCTGTATTTGCATAGGTGTACACTCCATGGGGTACACTCCATACACTCTGTAGCGAAAGCTTATCGCATCTGGGAGAGAGAATTCCATACCCGACAATCATCCTGGATGACATCTGGAACCACCGGTCCTCCAGCCTTGATCATCTGTCCGTTCCAAGCTTTGAATGCCACGGCATTCATGGAAGGTTGGTCCGATTTGCTCTCTCTCCAGACTGAAACGTTCAGACAGTGGATTATGATGTGCTGGACGGCTTCAGAACTCAGGAGGTGGAGAAAATTCATTTGGACACGGCCAACTCCAATCTCCAGCTATGGAATAATGAGAGAAAAACAGGTTGGGTATATTTGCGAGATATTATAATGAAAAGGCATTACATTTCTTTCCATGAACTTTGAGATTTTAAGGGAGAATATATTTCCCCAACGTGTAGAAAAATGGTTTGCGTCAGTGTAAAATTGGCCAGATGATGAAGTGAATAATAGGAGGTTTAGGCCCCGATAAATTTACAGCTTTGAGCCACTGGCCCATCGCAAATTCCAAACCCAGACTTTCCTGGTGGGATCACCTTGTGTCGAAAATCAAGAAGCCCCTAAGAAGGAGAAAGATGTTACTAAGAATTTTAATTTCATTGAAAATTCAGATTGAAGAAATCAATACATGTATTGGTGTGTACATATTAAATAAGGAAACCAGGAGTCCTCTGTTCTTTACACAATGTATTGTACAGTACAAAGTCAAAGTTATGCACTCGGAGGCAAGTGTAGTAAAAACTCTTTAAGAGAGCAACTCTTTCTGAGCCAGACAGTGTCAGCTGGCTGACTAGGCCCAAATTTCACAAAAAAACATCCCCATTTAACAACCTGATGTTATTTTCCAGTAACTTGGTGGCTTTTAAAAGAGGTTTTTTTCCTTATGACCAAACCAGTTTCAAGTACTTGGCCTGTAGATTATGAGAGTGGGTCGATGTATTGATTTAATTTGGACCCAGAAATCGAAAGGAAGCCAGCATTTCGATAAGGCAATGCTATCGTTCCTGTCACATGAAGAAAAACAAAATGATTTCCGATTTGGATACCTTGGAGACAGAAACTGGTTTAAGGCAGGTTTGCCCTCCATTTGTGAAGTTGCAGGTCACCTCAATCGTGTCTGAAGCACAGCCAAGGTTCGGGTCAATCCAATAAGTGCCTGGAAGTTACACAAAAATGTGTTCAGAACAAAAAGTAAAGTCCATCCCTCATTTTGTTTCAACGGTGCCATCTTGTGGTCAAATCTAGTCATTAATTTTCTTCATTCTTCGGTTACCGTAGCAGGCTGTCAGGAATTAATACACAAACACAAAGTGAGGCCTCACCATCATTCATCCTCTGTTCACAATCTTTAAGGTCTCGGCAAATGCGGGCAGGATTGTCATGGGTTCCCAGTGGGTTTTTGATGCTCTGAATCAGGTTACTGAGGTAGTGAAGGGTCTTAAAGATCTCTGTTCCCTGGTCCAGCATAGGCAAGTCTAAACCTTGATAGTTCTGAAAAACAAAAGTTAGTCTTTTTAACTAGTTGGCTCTGAATAAAGCAGCATTAGCACAAATCACAAAGACAAAGCAGGATGTAGTCAATTAGCTGATCCTCTAAGAGGAAGCTTGTTATATACAGAAATTGTGGTTTAACTAGTCTCAGATGTGGACAGATGTTTAATCTCAGCTTCAGTAATAAAAATGTATAAATGATGGATAAGGGTCATATAAAATGTAATTATAAGTGCCCTGACAATAAGAAGGGGAGCAGATTTCCCTATTATGTGTCCCTTGAATGCTCTAGTTTCACAACTAACACCTTACTCGTACTACCATTTACATTGCTAGTAGCTTCTGATTCCAGCTTCACCTTATTTTGAAATGTCTGTAGAGAGCTATTTAACTATAATCACAATTGTGTACGTGTTGACAAAGTAGGGTAGATTAATCCTTTAAGAAAAGGTTGTTCTCCAAAAAACAGAGAAAACCATAGGAGGAAATTCATTATCTTCTCCCCAATAACCACAGGCACATAAAAATACCAATACCAACATTAAGATTTATGGGATTCTAAACAGTGTTATGGAAATATCGCCATGATTTTTTAAAAATAATTTATTTAAATTTCAGTGCCACATTATTGCAGACAAAAACGTTGAACAGAAGTATTGTTTTGTATTTGAAACTAAGTTTGCAAGCAAAAGCTCTCCCAGAAAGTTGCTATGAGCACTGCAGTATGATAGATTTAAGCAAAATTGTTCAAAAATGTTTTGTAAAATGAGAACTCCTTAAAGAGATTAAATGGTTTCTTGATTTTTGAAATCACCCCTTATTCTTTTTATAACCTCTCAATTTCAAATTCCTGGCTCACTAAATTGATTTGCAGGCCATCATTGACGGTTATCAATCTTTTTTCTTTATAGATGACTAATACATGTTTCTTCACAGCTGCATAAGTACAGTATGTGCTTAAGACCCATTTTTGTTGCAAACATATTTCTGCGTAATACAGCACCCTGGGAATAGACATATATATACACACGTTTTATACAGATGCTAATGAAAAATTAACATACCTCTGTCCTGAGTGCAGTGTTTGAGTCAATAAAAACTTGTAAAGCAGCACCAAGAGCTTCATTTTTCTAAACAAAAATATATATATAATTTTTAAAAGATGGATATGAACGTTTATCTAACTTAATGTTAAGTGGGTTTATCCTAAATTAGTTTTATTGTTTTGTAAACATAACGAAATGGCTTGTGACAGGGCCCAAAAGTTAAAAGCACTTGAAAATGGTAATATATGAGAAATTAAAGCCAACTTACGAGTGACAGGGGAAGACCTGGGGGACCCTAAAATAAAGAAAAACAAAATTACGTATTGCCATTCCTGCATCCCCATAGTAGATGAAATGGATGGTTGAATGTATTGTAATCGTGATGATGGATGATCACTGCATCAAATTGAATTGTTCAGCTAGCTGCGAAAAGCTACACAGCACTCTAGTCTCCACACACCTTAAATAAAAAAAATAGAAAAAGCTCTTAAACTCTTCTACAGTGCTTCGGGTGATTTGGGTTATATGTCCATGTTTGGACAGATCTGTAAAATGACTTTTTCTTGTCAGTAACGTTCCATTTCTGGTGATTAAATACTGCTTTCACTCTTGTACACACATTTTTAATTGTTTTTTTCCCCCAGAGGTTAAGGCCACTGGGAGTATTTGGGTATGTGGGCATGTGTGAAAAATGTACTAATGTTTTTAAAACAACTGCAAATAATTATCTGTTTTATGGAACCTATTTACCACTTATGTAGAGTAGTGAATAGGGCATTTGGAAGGTGTGCAATACTGGTGCCCCTCAAGGGTGTGTACAGTCTTAGCAAAGACGGTAGAATGTCCTGATGTACTGTGTTGAGGTTGACAGGATTGCTCCGGTCCCCCCAGCTGCACTGTGTGTGGGAGTAACCCTGCAATAGACACTTATCTGCCCACATATCACTTATCATTTATCTGTCCACTATAATTTTTCATAATAATACTAATAATTGCTTATACGTATATAGCGCTTTTCTGGACACTCCACTCAAAGCACTTTACAGGTAATGGGGAATCCCACTACCACCACCAATGCGCAGCCCCACCTGGATGATGCTACAGCAGCCACAGTGCACCAGTCTGCTCCCCACACACCAGCTCTCAGTGGGGAGGAGAAAAGAGTGATGGAGCCAATTCAGAGATGGGGATTATTAGGAGGCCATGATTGGTTAAAGGCCAATGGGAAATTTGGCCAGGATGCTGGGTTTTACGTCTCATCCGAAGGACGGCGCCTTTGTACAGTATAGTGTCCCCGTCATTATACTGGGGCATTAGGCCCCACACAGACCGCAGGGTGAGCGCCCCCTGCTGGCCTCACTAACACCTCTTCCAGCAGCAACCTTAGTTTTTCCCAGGAATCTCTCATCCAGGTACTGACCAGGCTCACACCTGCTGAGCTTCAGTAGGCTGCCAGCTGGGAGTTGGAGGATGATGTGGCTGCTGGCTAAACTGGGATAAGCATCAGCCAAAAAAGCTTCTCAGTTCAGGTACATGCTTATTTGTTTATAAGAGGAAACTGTAAAGGTGATCTAACCACCTTTTTCAACTGACATAATGAATTATGCAGTTAATACAATAATATTACCATACAATCATTGGTAAAACAACAAGTCAAAGCAATTCCACGTTCTTTAGATACAAGTTGAAACAAAAATGCTTTTACTTACTGGTGGTCCTGGGGGCCCATGTGGACCTGGTGGGCCCTGAAACAGTGAAAAAAAGACGGCATGTTTATTTCATTAATGGCAATCATCTTGCTATGGCATTAAAAGTATAAGCTCAGATCAAAAGGAAGATCTCTTCATTGTTCTCTAGCAAGCTGCTTAGTGTTTTGTTGGCAGCGGCCTACATCTGTAAATATGTGTATTGACATTTTAGAGATTCCTAAACTGCTGACGCTTTGATTAATACAATAGATGGTAAAGAATACAAGATGTGTTAAAGGACCAAAGTAACCTTTTTGTGTGCTTGCATGCTTTAAATCTTTTTGTTAAACCTCTAGGCAACACAATTTGAAGAACAATGCAATAGGGAATCTGACCAATGTTTCTTCCAATGTGAGCGGGCAACCTTTCAAATATTTTAATTTCCTCCTAAATTTTTTAAAGATGGTATCTTAAAAATACTCACTCTTGGTCCTTGTACCCCCTGTTTAACAGAAACAGAAGACAAAAAATCAGGTTCAAGATAAACTTTTCAGTCTACAGTTAAGTAACGTTACAACGTTTTTGCTCCAAATACAAAATGCTCTCCACCTCTTCAACCTCCAGATAAAATCCAGCTAAGATTCCAAAATACAACATCCAAAAACTTGTTTTAATGTGCTCTTTTATATACTTTTAATATTATGTACTCTATCCCTAAGGATATGAGAGAGTCACCTTCCCTAAGCTCTTTCTTTAGAAAAGCCTTTACTAAAATGGTTCTGTTTTTTACCCCCTTTGCTCGTACTATATTCAGTACCCCCATCTACCATGTCCTCTCATTGTGTATTTCTTTTATCATTCTGTAAAGCACTTTAAGAAGCCACCCTTAAAGGCGCCACATACAAAGTTTTTTATCATTACATTTTGCATCCCAATAACCTAATGCTTACTGTTTCCCCTCGATTTCCCTTGTCTCCTTTAGGTCCCTGAAAGGAAAAAGGAATACGTATGAGATTTCAAAGCGGAGTAAGTGGGACAAAATGCATCTGTGTCTAGGAGGATTTCTAGATTATCTTGTCAATGGATCTTGTGGTGAATAGTCAGTGGGGAGCTGGCATGTTACTGCGGGGAGGAGAGAAAATTTAACTATGTATTTCTTCATTTTCGTGAACTTCAGTGATACGAAGGACATTGGAGACCTTTAAGTTTCTAATGTTAAAAGGTCTGTAACAGAATAGCCATTGACAGGCTGTTACATGAAAAAGCATGTAAAATACTTACTGGATTCCCAGTGGGCCCTATTATTCCGAATGGACCAATGACACCTTCCTTTCCCTGACATAAAAAAAAAGACAAGCATGAAGGCCTGTGATGAATTTGTGTTACTTTCACTGTACAAAGATATTAGAACTAATTTTTATTCTTTCAGTTTCAGCAGCCATATCACCCTGCAACTCTCTCACTAAAGGCCGGCAGGTGTGGCCTGGCCAGTACCTGGATGGGAGACCTCTTGGGAAAGCTGAGGCTGGGTGTTAGTGGGGCCAGCAGGGGGCGCTCACCCTGCAGTCTGTGTAGATCTTAATGTTCCAGTATAGTGACAGGGACACTATAGTGTAAAAAAGTGCTGACCTTCGGATAAGATGGAAATCCCAGGACGTTTCTCAAAAAGAATAGGGGTGTTACCCAGGCGTCCTGGCCAAATTTCCTATTAGCCTTTACCAATCATGGCCTCCTACTAATCCCTGTCTATGAACTGGCTTCAACACTCTGTTCTCCTCCCCACTGATAGCTGGAGTGTGAGGAGTGCACCGGCGCAATCTGGCTGTTGTCGTATCATCCAGGTGGGGCTGCACATTGGTGGTGGTAGTGGGATTCCCCATTACCTGTAAGGTGCTTTGAATGGAGTGACCAGAAAAGTGCTATATAAGTGTAGGAATCTTTCCTTTTTGTACCCCCGTAATTTAGAATAGCCAGTTATCAATCAGCCTCGGTATACTGACCAGAAACAATGTACCTGGACGAGTGGGATTAATTCTTAACAATTAATTGCATTTACAGAACACGTTTTATCGCGGAGCGCTCGGATTGTAAGAGGAGGAATTTCAAACACCACTTATAGTGCAACATCCTCCTCTGGGACACGTGTGGTCATTATTCTGAATCAGTAACTCCTCATATATAATATACTGTAGAACGAGGAAAGAAAAAATTGCTTCACCAATTGAATTAAGGGGGAAATTTAGGAAGACCAGATTGTACAAGTACAGTACAAAGCAGAACATTGGAGTAAATATCCTTACTCTTACAAAGAGACTCTTAATGACTTTATTTGACTCAATCAATTGTTCAGTTAATAGTCTCTATTACCCATAAAACGGAGGAGAGAACATTATGTAGAAATTGTGTAAATCAGTGGGGTGCTCAAACTTTACTTATCAGGAGCCCCCCCAGTGATCCTCAATGGTATTCACTGTCCTACACTGACTTAAAAAAATGTGTGTATAATGTCACACTAAAGCATTGTGTTACTTCAATTATAATAATAATTCCTTACACTTATAGAGTGCTTTTCTGGACACTCCACTCAAAGCGCTTTACAGGTAATGGGGAATCCCACTACCACCACCAATGTGCAGCCCCACCTGGATGATGCGACGGCAGCCATGGTGCGCCAGAACGCTCCCCACACTGGCTATCAGTGGGGAGGAGAGCAGAGTAATGAATCCAATTCATAGAGGGGTATTATTAGGAGGCCAATATTGGTAAGGGCCAATGGGAAATTTGGCCCTTTTCCTTATCCCAATTGTGTTAGTGTATTCAAGCCCATGTTTAGAGAAAAACAGGATTTAGATTTATTTAGATTTAGGCCTTGGCCTACTTTCAGGTCTACTTCTTTTAAAGTCCAGATTGAACAGTGCACTCATTGCCTGACGGAAAGCCGCAAGCACACATTTACATAAGTAAACATGGGGGAGAAAGGTCGAAATGAACTTGCCATCAGGCCTTGTGGTCCCTTAGGGCCTTGAATCCCTACTGGTCCAAAGTCTCCTGGAGGCCCCTAGAAAACACAGCTGTAATTGAAGTCAAAGACAATATAACACTTCTCATCCTAAATGCCTCTGGAGAAACTGCAGTATCCTTCGTCCTTTTCTTACCCTGTTCCACAATATTCAAGACATTCACCTACTGAAAATTCTAATCACATAAGGTCGGTTACAAACAACAGGAGGCCACTTGACCCCTCCAGCCCATTTGGTAATATGTAGATAATTGATCCCAGGATCTCTTCCGGTTGTTTCTTGAAAGAAACCTTCCAGTTTTCGGTTTTAAATGCACTTCCATGGAGTTTCAGCTCATGCTCTCGGATTCGTGTTTCACTGTTCACTCTGAAGAAAAGTTGAATTTGTCGATGCCTTTGAGGATTTTGAATCCGCGTGTCAGTTCCCCCTGTAAACCTCTTTGTTCAAGACTGAAACCGTTCAGTTCCTTAGACTGAGAGTGTAGGACTTTCAGGCTCAGGAGTTGCTCTTCTTGGGGCAGACTGCAGAGCAGCAATAGTTTTTTCTATATCATGGTGATCAGAATTGTTCATGATGTTCTACATGAGGCCATACTTGTGTAATATACAATTTTAATGTAACATCCCTTGATTTAACTTCTATGCTTTAAACTATATTCTTCTACATAGCACTATATATAGAATAATATATATATTCCACTATACAAAAGCACTATATAAAAAAAGTTTATTCAATATATTATTTAGCTCATTCATAGTTTCTTCTATCTCAGCATTTCACATTTGTATTTTTAAGTTATGTATTTACCTCCTGCATGAATAACCCCATGCTTGTCTACATTTAATACCATTTGTCAGGTGTTTGCCCAGTCTTGAATTTTACCTAAATCTTTTTCAATTTCATCTGCTACTTCGACAATGTTTAGCCAATTTATGGCATTGATTAAAAACGCAGAGTCATGCCATGTTTACAACGTGCACAGCTCTGATTAATAGGAGGAAATAAAGCTAGCTAAATAACACACTGTCATCTATTTCTGTAATAAGCAGCATACTGTGAGTAAGTGCCTGTATCCCAAGGCACAGCAGGATCTCATACAATTGGCACACAATGGCCAAGACAGATTGAGATAGTTTGTTTTGCTCCAATAAAAAGATCCCTAGTAATATAAAATGCTTACAGCCCTCCACTACCTTCAACCTCTGGCAAAAAGACTTTAAATAAACAAAGAGCCTTCTGTTGACAATATAATTTGTAAAAATGAGAGAGTTGCACAACAGTGACAACATAAGTTTAAAATGGTGAAAAAAAAACTATTCTTGCTTTCATAGAATATTTCCTAAAACAAAACAAAATTCTGGTCTTAAAACCTTAAAAAACTCAGTGTTCCATGACTTGTAACAACTTTCTTGTAACAAAATGTGAATGTTTGACCTGATAGCTGACTGCTTCATCAATATTAGTTGCTGAAGAAGAGTTAGGGCTGTCTTCTGATACAGTAACTACAGTACACAGGGACAACACTGTACCAGGGAAATTCTGTGTTTTTGCAGGCACACTTTGCCTCTCTGCTTCACAGAATAACACTGTTTAGTCCACTGAGGTTTATTTCAGGTGAGATATCTAGACAAACACTAAAAAGACTAGTAGGACTCCTTTTAAGGCCAGTCCTGTTAAATATCCTGGGATTCTTTGATTTATGTCCTGGAGTTCTAGGACACTCATATGAGAACTACTTTTTTGCAGCTTTTTTCCCCACCTGAAAAGGCATTTTTGCTACAAGGTAATGGAAATGATTACTGATTAATTAGTAGCAGCATCATATCAAATGTGTTACTGTTCCTCCATGCAATATCATGGATACCATGACTGTCACTGGTTTGTTTTAATTAAAATGGGAAAATTAAGCAGAAATACAAAAACTTTCCATCCAGGATGATTGACGTCTCTAAATTCCTCCATGTGCTCATGCGTGTGGGAGCGTCCCATCCATGGATTTAGCCACCAAGTGCTTGCTGGGACTGGCTCCTGCTCACTGACCCCAGTGGGAAGGAATCCTGTTTTTTGCTGCTCTTAACTTCTTAACCACAGGCCTCTCAATTTCTATCCGAGGCTTAATTTTAAATTTGCTTTCGGCACTTAAACGGTTAAATGGGATTTGTTATTGGTATCAACACCGTACTAATTTTTTACAGAACTTCCCTTATTCAGGTGTGTTGCCCGATATGTGACCCGGTAGATCTTTGCCTTTCTCGCTGTCTGCTGATCAGAAATGGATCACCTACCAAGAGATGTTCTGTTGCGAAGAGCTTATTAACTTTTTTATGTGCTGTAGTTGCTGGAAACAGTATCCTTGAAGCAGGACAGATTTGGACTGAACATAAGAACAAATTATACATCTAAATATAATTGCAGAAGGATATGTAATAATCATACTTGTGTGAAATAAATAATCTGAAAATAAAACAATCTACCTTTGGTCCAAACACGCCCATAATGCCTGGAAATCCTGGTTCTCCAGTGTCACCCTGGAAATCAAGAAGATAAAAAGAAAATCAGCACTCTTCACATTACTGTTAAACATAAAGAACCTTAGGAATGTTTTAAGTTTGTACTTCAATATTTGTTTAACAGATTTGGCCCTGTTACATGTTGGCCATTTACACTAATGGGAGTTTTATAATGACGAATAAGGTAAAACACAAAGTCTTTAAAATGCCATTAGCAAATAGTTTTGTGCATAACGTTTGTGCTCGTGTATACTGGGATTTCTCATTCCCACCTCCTAGGAAATGTGACCATTTGCAAGAGTTAAGGGATTTTGCCTTAAAAATGCAAAGTAAATGTCTGTCCAAAACCAATTGCTGTACAGTATATCTGATAGAATCCGTAAAAAGACACCAGCCCTGTGTGTTTCCTTACCGGCTGCCCTTTGGATCCTGGATCTCCCTGTTTCCCTGGCATTCCCATTCCTCCCTTAAATCCTCGCTTTCCGGGGGGACCGGCTTGACCAGGCAAGCCCCTCTCTCCCTAGATGGAGGAAAGAACTCATTTAAAATCGTCATCACCAATCACCTTTGCAACAGACATTTTCTAAACACTATCGGGACACCTTTATCACTACTACCGTGTCACGACAGAAGGCGGAAATTGCAAAGTTCAAAGTCAACCCCCACCTTCCAGAAATGCAGCATCTCGCAGTGACAAAGCCCAAGTATTTTCCGATCACGTAAATATTTTAATATTTCATTGACCTATCAATAACTAATCCCTCCTAAAGGTTTGCATTTATAGCTTTGGCCATTACTGATGCTATGTAGATAAACGTATAAAATGAGGAGGAATGTTCTTGTTAAGGAAGCCAAAAGCTGTCTTTTTGAATGTGGCATATAGGCCTGTACATGGAATTTTGCCTTTTTAAAAAATTCAACATCTCTTCTATTTGCCATTAAGGGGTTAAAAACAGAGAAACGACACACGTCTTGAGGCCAGAGAGAAAGACCAGAAAGAAGAATATGGGTTGCTGGTGACTTTCAGATAGTTTCCCTGGTGTTCAACTTGAAGAGCGACTGTGAATCGTGTTCTCTGGTAAGCGGTAAGCTGAGCTAAGAGCCTTCGAGGGAGACAAAACGGCTTTAACCAACAAGTTGAAGGATGGGCTCTTTCAGACAGAGCGCAGGCTAAAACAGACGCTTGTATGCTTAGGGTCCTGTCTGTGTGGAATCATGAAACCCGATGAACCGATGACTGTTTCTTGGATGTTTTTTCTCATCCCGTCCGCGTGCCATCCAGTTGGGCACCGCGCAGATAACATCCCGCGTTCTCCCTCCTGTCGGTACCTTGAACCCAGGTGAGCCCTGAGCACCAGGGAGGCCCGTCGGACCCACTTTGCCACGATGGCCCACATTCCCAGAGAGGCCGATTTCGCCATCGTCTCCCTGCTCCCCCTGCAGACACAGACAAAGGGCAGAGCGAATGGAGCACCAGCTGGAACGCATATCGAATGACCCGAGCTCCGCCGGCGTTTTCTAGCCACCCGGGCTTGAATCTGATCTCTGCAGGAGAGCTGCTGTTTCTGAAGGTGCATTAGAGCAGCTACACATATATTCCAAGCAGGGCTATTTTGTTGGAGCTTTTGCAGTATTATTGCATTTCAATGTACATTAACAGAATAAATTCAGGTAACTGCCAGGTTTCTTTTTCAGTCCTCCAGTTATATAGTTATATTGTTCAGACAAAGACAAAAGCCGAGGGAAATGCACGAGAGGGGACAGTCGAGGTGCTATTCAGGAAGACCACCAGAGAGAAAAGAACTGTTCCAAAAATGTGAACACCATGAGAGGCCGTAAGCTTTTTCTTTTTTCACAACAGTCACTTAGTGAGAGAAGTCCAAAAACTTTGTGTGTGACTCAGCTGAGTGATTGACTGCAGTGGAAAAAGTGCGGTAAGGTTTTGAAGCGGAGCACACAGTATGTATTTTTACTGGAGGAGTGATGAACCCCACAACCAGTTGGGTTGGCTCATACAAATGTAGAGAATAAAATGTATACATCCATTATATATTAAGTATCTATAAATGGCATGAGGTATGCATTTTTGCTGCAAGTTTTTGCAGCAAAATATGCACTAGAATGCCAGAAATGCACTACATTTGAATAAATGGCATTGTATTAGCAGTCATACTTGTATTACAAAAACACAAAACACAAAGACTTGAAATAAATAGCCCCTTCTAAATAACTGTTGGAGATGGAGTAATCCGTGAAAAAATGATTAAGTGAACATCAGAATTCTCACTGTATTTTTCTCCATATGAAACCCGTATAAATTGCCGAAGCCAAATTTAAATCTCAGGATCATTCAGCAGGGATTCAGATTTTGATAGGAACATTCCTGACTGCATTCGATATGAGTTGTAGCATTTTGTGATCGGGCCAAACTGAATGTTTGACCGTTTCACGATTTGTTGAAGAATGGGTCCTTTATAATACATTTCAATGTATTGCAGTCACTGTATGTAAAGTTAGGACCGTGTACGGAGACTGCAGGACGATTTGAAGGTTCGGGAAATTCCCTTACCGGCATTCCTTTACTCCCATCCTTGCCTGGGATTCCATCTACACCAGGGACACCCTCTTGACCCTGTCGTCCCACCACACCCCGTGGCCCGGGAGGTCCAATTGGGCCCTGTAACGCAACAGGCAGCAGGATTACCTTTGAGGTGCTTTGTTTTATCTCGAAACCCCACAGAACCTGTCCACTGTAAGGCTTAATAGTACAAGTGGTTCACAGCTGAAATTAGATGGTTTCAACCCGTGAAGCATTTTAGGTGTCAGTGTGTCACAGATTTAATAAACCTCCAATTAAAACTTCAACAACATTCATATCCTTGAAGGGATTGCATTAAACTATGCATTGCAAAAAATGTTAAAACAAACACTTCAAGCTCTCTGGAATATACCTCTGGTAAATAATACACTGCATATGTTTTGATGCAATTTAAATTAAGCATTGACCATCTCTGGGTTTTCGCTGTTTCAAAGTTGTGATTTTGAACACAGTACACCAGCTTTACACCTGCCATTTCATGCAACATTTGCAAATGCCTGGCATGAGTTATGTTGCACAAATGCAGAGCAGCACTAATATCTGTATGTGTGATATATGCTCCAAAGCAGGGAATTCCCGGTCCTGGTTCTGAAGATTCTAAAAGTAGCATTTAAATAAGCAATTTCTAAAGGGCTTGAGTTATTTAACTATAATCAATTAAGCAGGTGGTGTTTAATTAAGTATTTTAAAGATCATTTGGAACACAAATCAGAAAATCCTTCAGTCCCTGAGGACTAATGTTCCCTTCATTGAAATGTTACTTGCTTATTTGATCAATTGCTAGGAACGAGTGTTCATAATCTTTAAATATCAGGCTATTTGAGATGGTCTATAAGAATGAATGGACTGAGGCTCTACAGGGTTGAAGAAGCCTGCTCTAGTGAATGGCAAGATGAAAGTCTTTTCCCCTTACTGGCGGGCCTCTGCTTCCAGCTTCTCCCCGGCTCCCTTGTTTTCCTTTCTGGCCCTGAAACAGAAGAGGACAGAAACTGATGTCCCCCCACAACCACAAGGTCCAACGTCAATAAAGCAGTGCAGCTACGCAGAAGGGGTTACGAAGCATTCCTCTTCAGACTCGCACACAACATACAGTAAATCTGCTGAAACAATGAAGGAATTGCTTGCTTGAGTGATGGTGCCTACTCTGAAATCATCCATCAGAAAATCATTAATAGAGACTTGTGTTTTGATGGTATCTCTCAGCTTTCAAAAGCTGCCCTACTGCGTTTCAGATGATCTGGATTAAAGGTATAATCAAAGCGCTAAAATGAAGAGCTGAAAGGATCCTGGCAGGAGAGACGAGTGAAATTTCAAACCGAAATGGAGTCCTGCAGAGTTTTACTCCACTGAAGCAGCCGCCTTCACATCGTATAACGGTGCTCGGGATTAACATTCAGCGCAATTAATTTTGAGCAAATTGGCCTGTTCCATCAATGGCAAATTAACTGGGGGTGCAGACAGCAATGACATTGAGGGAAAGTGAGCAACAGGACAGATTTCCTACACTGAGTTTCATAGCAGTTTCAGGAGAATAGTGAAGGTTCTCGGGGGAATTAACTGGACAAGAGCATTGCAGATTTTAGTTTTTTTAAAGAAACTTAATTCATTACTATGTATTGCAACAAAACGCTTTTCAAAATGACCTAATTAAAATGTAGTCATTATTTTGATACAATTTATAGGCAGCAGCCTGAGTATGTTCTCCAAAACCTCTTTTTAAGGATATCTTGGCCGTTTCAAATCTGCCACCGCTGGAAGTCGTTTCAAATAAATTTCGGAACAAACCTCCATTTCACATCAGATCTGAGACACAAGACATTTAAGTACATTTTAGCAAACACTATAAAGGTTGAACTGAACTGTTATGTCGACAACAGGAAGTGAAGTACTACTACAGGTAAAGTTAAAAATGGAGGTTTTTCGGTTTTCATGTAGCATCTTTAGAAATCTTACCTCATAACCCTTAGATCCTTTAGGTCCTGGTTGTCCTGGAGGTCCAGGATTCCCCTTAAGAAATAGAAGAATAAAGGCAATCTTCTGAGTTCAGGAGCTATCAATTTCCCAAAAAAGCAGCTCAGTATTTTAAGCTAGAAGGGCAGCAGTAAGCACTGCAGATTGATGAGGTAATGACAGCATCTACAAAAACCGACCAGGTCCACACAACCTCTTTTTGATTGCTAAGCATCACCTCAACAGAAGATCCATATCTTTCATAGTGGAATAAAATTAAGATGCTTCATTCATTATGTTGCACCTTCAAGAAGATAAGCTAGTTCAGTGTCCCTATACCCAGTGTTTATATCCAGTGTTGATGCTGGAAATGGTGTTAGTGGGGCCAGCAGGGTGTTCATTAGGTGTGGGTCCTAATGCCACAGTATAGCGATGGGGACACTATACCGTAAAAAGGTGCTGTTCTCTCGGATGAGACATACTGGTGGTGATAGTGGGATTCCTCATTACCTGTAAAGCGCTTTGAGTGGAGTGTCCAGAAAAAAGTGTAAGGAATTACTATTATGACAAATGCCAAAGTAGGAAGTACAGAACATAAGATCAAAGTATAATAGAAGTACAGAATGGAAATAAAGTGTGCACTTACAGGCATCCCAGGGGCTCCAGACTTGCCTCTTTCTCCGTCCAGCCCTTGGTGACCCTGTAAAATGGACATTTTTACAAATATAGCAAAAACAAAATATCTTGTTCTCAAAAAAGGCAACTTTTGTAGCTTTTGAGCTCAGACATTCAAGGTCAGTGGGTCTAAATCATCTTGGAAGAGATGAAAACAAGTTCAGGTTCACACCTTGACTCTCATCTGAAGACCAGTCTGGCAATTATTATATTTCCAATGAACACAGATTTGATCGATTAACAAAAAGCAGAAGGAGTTACTGGAATGCACAATTATGCAACAGTGAACAGCATTTCATTTGAATAAATTCATTTTCTTTCTTTTCTGCTACTTTTAAGTCTAAATGCAGCTTGTGAAACAACATTGCAGTCTAACATGGCTATTAATGGAAACTCCTTACAAACTGCATCATTGAAGATGAAATATATTCTCTTTATTATTATTATTAAAAATAATTTGATGAAGGCACATGGGGGAATTCGGGAGAAAATGCTGTAATGGAATAATAATAATAGTAATAATAATAATAATAATAATGATAATATTAGTGAATAAATTGTTGCAGAGGAAACAATAAAAAAGTCAATGCATAACAGGATTTGGCATTGTTAACAGTGTAAGTTAGGCAGGAATACTGAAATTAGATATTGTTCAAGTTATTGGCAGTGGCAGCTTAAAGTGACATACAGTACAGTACGGTGTACCCAAATTTGGTAACTGCTCTTTGGCAGGTTGATTTTGGAAAAAGGACTGCATCTTAAGGTTGGTACAGAGAACTGCAATAATTTATGAAGATAGAATGTTTTCCTAATTAAAAATCTGATAAAGTTTAAACCAATTACACATTCATCTAGTATGCAGAGAATCAATCAATAACAACCACAATTAGTGTGACTGGGTGCCCCAATCAAAAAACTCATGACAAAATTTGATAAAATATCAAGTTTCCCAAACCAGCTTTGGAAGCAGTCCTGTGAACAACACCACCACAGTCCAAGATGGGGAGTCCAGATATTTGAACTTACTATTTCACTTGAATAAATAAAACTAGATTTGGTTCAATAGAGGAAATCAAGACTTTGACTTGGAACTTGCAATGAGCACTATCCAACCATTTAGCTAAATATTTATATTCTACATGTTCCAATTTCATTTAAACTACAATTACTCTAACACTTTAGTTTAGGAGCTGCAAATTCCATTTGTAAATTGTTTATTGCCGGCAATATCCAAACACAACACTGAAACAGTGCCAAGAATCTATCAAGAAATTGCCTCTATTAATGATCAATTAGTTTACACTTATGACTAAGCGTATTAATAATAATATTCTTCTCATTTCAAGTACAGATGGTTAATTACCACACCTCCTCAATGTTAACAAATAAGTTTGTTTCCCCTCAGGAAATCACGGGGGCTTTATGGTAACAAGAGGGCAAAGCAAAATGTGGCGGAAATTAACCAGAACAGGTTTTAGATTCATTTTTGGCACTTACTGGATAGCCTGGGTCCCCTGATTCGCCTCTGTCCCCTCTGTCTCCAACAGGACCCTGAACGCACCAGAAAAAAGAAACAATATTTTCATTTCTAAGTCCGGAGCACCAGAAAAAAAAAAATTGTAACGGCATTGCTGTTAAATCAGACTCACTCTGTCTCCTGGAGAACCAGGAGGCCCCTCTGTCTTCCCATCATCCCCCTGTTCCCCCTGTGGAAAGCAAAGCATATTGAGATGAGTGTACATTGTTAAGTATTTCCTGTGTTTTTGCTGGTTTTACATTCACTGTGCAACTCCAGAAGTGCCAGCAAAAGGTCACAACCTTTCTCAAGATAAGTCTCAAACCAGTAAAAGAGGGAGATTCTAACTTCCACTTTGCAGAATGTACTTGTTGGTGAGGCAAATTCGACCCATAGAAGGAATGTCAGCAGAACATGTACGCTATCCCATCTGCAAAACACGGTCTCTCAGGACATTTTTGCAGGTGGGATCCTTATTTTGTATAAGTTATTTATTAACGACATGAATCTGCATTGTTTCGCCGTACATGTGCTATACATGTGCGTTGTCAAAAAGCGTAGCCTGGAAACTACCACTGTAGGTTTTGTATGAAGCGCAACATGTTTTTTGCATTACAGACAAAAACTACATAGAGAAGTTTCTGATCAAGTCAGCATTTTGTGTTGGCAAGACTCTCGTCTAAAAAAATGACAATTTATAGAGTGAGAAAAGAGTGGAAAACTGCAGGTAGCCCCGTTGAAGGGGGAGAAACGTACAATTTTCTTTAGAACTAAACATTTAAATATTCACTCCCATGCATGTTTTTGCATGCCTTGGCTCTTGTAAGGCTATTTGATCTTTTCCTGTAGATTCTGGTATAGTTAACACCCTGCGCTCAACACAAAGAAATACGTTTTGGAAAGTGAAGACCCACAGTACATGAAAAAGCCTAGGTTAAAGTATGAACCCTGCTTTGTCGAGACGATCTGAGGTACTGATATCCATAAAATCAAGACAAAGGGAGGTTTGGATGTTTCATTTCTGTTTTGATTTTTTTAGGACTTTTTCTAGTGAAAAAGAGAAGCCTGATGTGTAGTTGTGATGTTTTTTTTTTATCATAACATAATATATAATCCTTGAAATATATTATCCTTACAAAAGAAGAAGCTTCATGATTAAACAAACAAGCATTCACCTTCAAACAAAAAAAAAAACACATTTGCAAACTGACCAGAAACATTTAAAAGCAACAAGGAACCTTGTCGCTCCAGAAGGACTACTCTTCTCTGAAAGGTTTCTGTGTCTTAGCTTTCACTGTTGGGATCCAGCCAAAGGAAAGTTTACACTCCACTAATTTGGATCAGCAAAGTCATTAGGCAGAGGCTGTGGGAAGACTACCTTTTCTCCTTTGGGTCCAGGTGGTCCCATTGGGCCCTGTGGACCTTGGTGACCCTGTACACAAGAGAGAACAACAAAACCAGGGAGACCATGAAGGCGCAGCACAGTGAAACAAAATCTCAATTATGGCAACACTGGCTGCATGTGAGGCTTCATACTATGTAGTGTAGGTCTATGTGGTAAGAGGCATTCAGTACCATGTTAACATCCAATAGCAACAAGATATGTGGAAATATTAAACAAACACTGTACAGTACATTCCGTATTATTAAGCGGCAATATATAGCTGATATTTGACATTTTTATTATTTTAATGATAATTTTTAGTATTGGTATATTTTAATTTAATCTGACAACATCAATTGTTCACCAGTTGACCTGAAACTAAATGCCTACACAGCAAACTAATTCCGGGGCACTCATTTGTTATAAGCCTAAGGTACAGTATTATCCAATTTTATTGACGTCTTTAGTAGACAGGGGACAGAAATTTCAGCAGAGACCAGATAAATACGCATTGTTGGTATCAACACCATTCTTTAGTTCACTTTCAGAAGGAAAGACAATTCAGTTCAAAGGGCCACTGGCGTTTCTAAATTTTACACAATTCAAGACGGCGAGTGGTGACCTGGACTAGCTATCACGACAAACTTTACTGCACGTTGTCCATACCTCATACCCTGGTAAGCCTGGTTCCCCTTGCTGTCCCATTCTGCCTGGGGGACCCTGTAAACAGCATTTGCATTCATCAAGTTCCTTATAATCCAGTGGAAACGTATTCTAACGGATCCTCTTTAAACGATTTCCTCTTTGCAAAGCGATTGTGCCAATGCACACTTCCAGCACTGAATAAAACTGTTCTGCACATGGATAGGTTTCAAGAATAAAACCCTGGATAGTTATCAGAAGGAGTCTATGGCTCTAAATTAAGTCTTCAAGAAACCTCATGTGCTTTTCCTTTGGAGGAATTCCTGAAGGGAAAGTAGTGATACTGTATGTGCTTGTTTCCGAACAAGAAATATTCAAAGGCGGCTGGAGCCAAGATCCTCAGGAAATCTGTCATTTTTAGTGGCACATTTCAGGAATGTCACATTAAAAAGTACCTTATGGATCCACAAGACCACTTTCAAAATATTCTATATACAATCTTTCAAGCATGTATGTATGACTGGATTTCATTTTGCATGTACAGTACATTGTATTGCTCCCAGGCAATGATCTTATTAGGTTCTGCAAGATGCAAGACTGAAGCTTCTAGGAATATTTTGATTAGTTATGTTAGATAGTAAACTAGAAAACATACCAAAAAAAAGTAACAATTCAAATATTCCAACAAAAGAAAAATACAAACATCTCTCAATTTGGGTTCTACAGGACATGCATGATGTAACTCTGAAATCTTCAAAGTAGTTATTTCAGAGATCAATTAACAGGAAGTAGTTGCCGATAAAAACTAGAGGCTGTATTGATACATCAATGAACTCAAACTGCACTGTGGCATGCAAAATGAAAAATACTGCCATGGTGAGTCCTATTGTCCTGTATCATTTTTAAGCAGTATCTTCTCCTCTTGATCACTTAGGAATCACCAGCCTTTACTACTGTATACAAGTAGCACTTTGTTTGCCATTGCTTAGAAACATGAATACATGGGATTCTGCTGAATGACATAGCAGCAACCTCATTACTCAGTTGGCAGCACCATAATCCTCATCTGTCTTGGCATTAGTGATTAATGGGGAGGAACCGCAAACTAAGTCTCTTTCCAAGTGTCTCACAACACAGGGAAGTATTTCAATGCAATTAAAATAAACAGAACGTCACGACATCGTATTGCACAATATACAAGATTACACAGAGTCCTGGTGGTGTGGAAAACCGTATCACCAGGAAACCTTTGTCCAGAATCATATAGTGAAAATACCCACTTTAGAACTGTTTTACATCTATATAGTAAGGGGTAATCTTACTGTATCATTTTTTGTCATAGATATCTAACTGCTTTTTTCGAAAAAGTACATTATTTTTTGACACTGAAAGACCCGCAAAAATATTTTCCCAGTATCTATTTCTTCTTTTTTGCAGATCCTCTCAACCATGAGAGCTTTCAAGACTCCTGCAGGCAGCATTTAATTCGGCAGCTGTTAATTCAGATGGACATTGGATTTCCACTGTCTCACCATGGGCCCAATAGTTCCTCTGGATCCCTTTGGTCCTGCAAAGCCCGCTGCCCCCTGTTCACCAATGGTCCCTGTCTCTCCAAGATGACCCTGATGGCCTTTGCTGCCCTGCAAAGAAAAGAACCAACACATTCTCAGATATAGTGAAATCCAATGATCACCTTATTGCTAAACCAATTTACCAGTTGAAGTGAGTTTTCAATATTCCCCATCTGGAATTGGTTCTGACAACAGTTATGTCTTTATTAAATATTTTGAATTTTGTAGCCTTTCAGATCTTGCAGTCGCAGACTGGTTTGGAACCCAGCTAGAAGGCTAAATTTGGTCCAGCAACTTATAGTAAAGAAATACTGGCCGAACATCACTTTGTCTCTTGGGCATTGAACCAACATTGACAAAGTGTGTACTATAACCTTGGGCCAACATCATGAATTCAGCTATGACCTTGCCAACCTGACTCTATGATAGACCAATATTTGTTTGGACCAAATCCATTTTTTTCATAAATCCACATAAGAATACTGAATGCTCTGTCAGTATTACAGTATGAAACATTATGAACATTACCCAACCATAACTCTGCCAATCTAAACTTAAATGATGTTTGGTCAACACTTCACACGACATTGGACCAAGACTGAACCAAACTTAGCAAGCTCTGCTGTTGTGTAACAAATGGCACTTTCATTTGAGCTTTTCATTTTGCAGGTAGTCATACTTGCAGCAGCTGAAACATGGAAACGTAGAAAAACGAACACAAAGACTTTTCACATGACACTTGTGATCACAGCAGTATCCGTGAGGTGCATCCCTGTTCAGGAGAACAAAATCCAGCATTCTTTTTTTAGATTGGCAGAAAGATGACACTATCCCTGTACCTTTCTGCCTGGTTTTCCTCTTTCACCTGGTTTTCCTGGTTTTCCTTCTGGACCCTAGAAAATAAATAAAGGATAACCTTGATTATAACCACCACTGGTTAATAAACATTTCTGGCAACATATTGGTCTTCCAATACAGCAAGGCATCCATATGGGAGCTTTCAGGCAGTCGTAAATCTGGCTTTCAATGTATCCATCAAAAAGGTTTTGAAATCACGTGAAATGTTTTTACATTAACTTGTACATCAAATAGCATTGTTTTTAACCATTTAAAAAATCTCATTCACATTATTCCCACATGTCTTTCTAGGACATTATAAGGTTGTCGTCAAGTCAAGCCCAGCTCAGCTATTTGTAAAGAGACCATTAGATGATGTAGGACATCTGGCCTTGTTGCAATCTCTCAGAATATTGTAGAGTTCTACACTGTTACGAGTCATATCTGACTACTAGATGCCGACTGGTGCCTTTAAAATGACAATTGTGTCCGACAACATATGGTTCCTTTGGAAAGTGATGAAAACGGGGGATATCTCATTTACGATGTCCCACAGTGGTGTTCTTACTATTGAAAGTAAAACTTAATTCAGATATTCTTCACTCTTTATGCCTTAAACATTAGATCCGCATGCATACAGACATTTATTCTATGGGTAGCTTTCCTGAATACACAACACCCAACTGTGTTCATTGTTCCTATAAAATAGCTCTTCAGCAGTTTTTTTTCCTTAGTTGTGAATGTAGCGCAAAGGCTTTGAGGACCGATTTCTACTATGACTGCTGCTGCTATTTATCATAAGAACAGTAGGAACCATGACGAAAACCTTAATTATTATTAATACCTTGGTAAACAATTTGATTTGCACCAGCTCATTTAATTAATCTCTGGAAGTCCGTTGTGGTGAATTCACCGACTGTTTCACAGTTTGTCTTACCCTGACGCCTGTCAGCCCTGGATCTCCAGGAGTGCCTTCCTTTCCTTTCAGGCCAATTTCACCCTTCTCTCCTTTCTCCCCCTCAGGTCCCATGTCCCCCTTTTCACCCTAAAAAAGCACAACCATGGATGACTGAGTATCGTGTGTGACTATAAACCCTTTATTAGCCTGAATCTTGCACGAGATCCCAAAATCGCTTCACACAGAATACCCACTGGCTCCCCATCAGCCTTCTGCTAATTTGCAGCAAATGTGGAACATCTTTAATCAGATGACAGCAGAGCTGAGAAACTATGCCCAAGAAACCAGTGGAACAAAAGATGCTTTCTGTTCAAAATAAAAGGCAGCTGTTTACATCTGCAAAAGAACACCCCCCCACCCCAAGCAGCTGTGAAGCAAAAATTAGAAAATACCACACCTAGAAGATTTATGATGCACATTTTTAATGTCACATGGGTTTCAATTCAAAACCCAAGGCCCAGAGATCTGCAACTGTTCAACTTGCTGACTCTCAGGCAGATTTGCTAGTTAAAATGAAAATGAAACAAAACACTCTAATTAAATAAGCCACTGATGTAATTAAAATGTATTAATATATTAGGTGGCAGAATATTTATCATGACAGCCCTCTGTGCTTAAATTATTGAAATTTGATCTCCGGTTATGAGGGAGTTCATTCCAGACTTTTGGATTCTCTTACAGTGACCCACCATACGGTTTTCCCAGTTGTTTCCAATCAAACAACGAATGCCAATTCAATTAGAGACACATGCTTATACAGACAGGTTGTTACATTGCCTCTGAGAAACTGTTGCAGACGCCGGTTTGTCTCTTATAGTGTGACTTCGTCACATTCAGACGGTGATGTTTAACTGTCAAGACTGAAATAAGGAGAAGGCCCTGTTTCTCTCGATGTAACCTCCTCATATTTATTCTGCTACTCTTTCATCCAGTTCTGTTAAGCAGCCACAAACAAGTAGCAGTCGTGTAGCTCGATGTGGTCTGATAGTTCCTGAATGGTTGATGACCAGGGACAACCATGTTGCTGCTGAAAGTAGGTGGTTGTCTTCCCAACGGACCAGAGTTTCCAAATCAGTGCTCCCGTATAGAGACCTGGGGCAAGAGGTGTTGGCTTTTGGATGAGAAACCTCGTTTTGGGTTTTGGGTACTAGGACATTAAAGATCTCATAGGCACGGCTCTGACTAGGAGTGATAATCCCAGTCTCCTGGATAAATACCACTCTAAACTTGTACAGTCTGGCCTTCCTAAAGTTCTCCCTAAGCCAGTTATTGTAAATTAGCAATTATTAGTTTCTCCACCAGGTCTGCTGTGTAGTTGGGCTGTTGGCACATGCTAGGTACCACCCAAGTGGGTGCTGCTCTTTAGTGGTGAAAGAAGTGGGTCATTTTTTATGTGTAAAGCACTGGGATGAAAAGTGCAATGTAAATGTAAGGAATTGTCATAATCAGTATGAACCAAAGACAAAGGTTAGGGGGAGTTTTCTTCTACTTAAGATTTTTCCATTTTAATTTCAGTGTTTCTTGCCAGATCCGAAGGGCTGTTCTCTTACAATTACTATCAGCCTGCTCTTTTCCCTTGGCAAGGGAAAGCAATTTTAGAAAAAAAAAACTGCTAACAATTTAACCTGGAAAATACATCATTCTTGGCTGTTCTCTTGTTAAGGAAATGCATGCTCCATTCATGCATGTCCAGAAAGCACTGGAAAGACACCCAAAATATAGGATTGTGTTGACACTTTCTGGTCTTCTTAAATTTAAAAGGATATGACAGGCACTTAAAACCGAATCCAGAAGTTTATTTTGTCTGAGAATCTGACTTGAACAATTGATTGTTATCACAAAAGTTGAGCCATCATAAATAAATCGGTGTGTGATTCCCAAATGTGCCACACAAAGGTGCCACATGACAAAACAGGATTTGTAAGGGCAATGTACAGCATTTAGCCTATACAGGTTATAATGCCATTTCTGGAAGAGCTCATATTTTAGATTTTAACTATGCTGCAAGACATCAGTAGTTTCATGCTTGTTTAGAAAGTCTGTGTTTAACATCTCTACAAACAATGAAGATACAAAAGATACTGCTGTAAAAGTACTACTACTACTAAAAGCCACATTGCTGAACATGCACTTTTTCAACCTGAATGTTTCTACTTTGATTCCACTTTCTCATCATCCATGTTTATCTCCTTGAAGTCAAAAGGACAGAAATGCAGGAAGCATGACTGTGATTAAATTGTATATGAAAAGCAGCAAAGAAACTAAACCATCCCATTTCCGATTCAGGCCATACTACCCTTGGGCAAAGCTGGGCTAGTGGCACAGTCCTGCACAAGTGTGCTCAGTACAGGTCTAATTGATACTAGAGAGGTCTTACCCAACAGTGCAATACAACATTTTGCCTGTCTGACTCTGACCTTAACTCGGTGCATCACAGCTCAGCTTATTCTTACCTTGGTTCCATCAGGTCCTGCTGGCCCAGCTTCTCCTTCTAAGCCTGGCTCCCCCTGTGCAAAGAAATACATGATTATATACAGTAGGTGTGCAGTATTTTATAAAGGTATGAAATGTCTATCAAAGTTTAAGGTTGGTATGCCCATATATTGAACCACAAAGCCTTTTTAAAGATTATTTTCTGTTAGGTCCGGAAGAGTTTGAATGGAGGTTTTTTGGAAGTATTATCTACATTTTCTTTTTTTATATATATATAAAAGAACAATCATTGGAGAGAAAGAGTGAAACACCTCTGCTATAACAGAGTTAGAGTTTGTAGCCTGGAAGTGGTCCATTTTCCTTCACTGTGTGGGTGACAGTGGAAACACTGACAAACAGAGGTTTTGAATGAAGTTTCTTTATGCTATCACGACCGGTTCATCTAATGTCATTTACAAAGCTCTAGAGTATCTAAAGAACTTCCTAACAGTGGGCTGAGATATGGGCGTACTATGCCTCCTTTCCTTTCTTTCAATATAGCAGAATGTCTTAATACAAAGATCTACTGTAGCTTCAATGGAGAGTGTGGCTGAATAAGTAATGCTTAACAGCATTAAGAGTTCTTATTCTCCATTTATAATGAGTGAAAGCTAGTTGTGGGAGACTTGTGCTTTGCTGGTTTGATTTTGCCATGCAGTGTTTATTTCTTCCTCTATCATATGCAATGTGCAACTGGGAGACTGCAAAAGACTGCCAAAGAGGAAAAAAAGAAGCAAAAAGGGGGAAAATCTAGAATTGCCACTCAAACATAAATTGAATGTCTTCGTGAGGTTGGACAAGAAGGCTGAAAAGACAGGCAGAACATGCAAGGGCCCCAGCTCAGATGTGAACCCTTGACTCTAGAGCTTCGAGGCATCAGAGATAACTGCCACAGGATTGCCAACTGGTGTGGGAATTACATTTTTACTGCAGTAACAATCTGGCAAATAGTATTCCTATTAAAAAAGTGCTAAAACAGATAAATGGACCCCAGAGTGCCTTGGAATTTCATTATTACTTCTTCATTCTCTCTTTACAATGAATAAATGGGATAATTTAATTTTAATGAGGGAAGACGACATCTTATATATCCCTTAAGGAATGTCAAGACAGTCCCAATTACGGCAAAAACTTGTTTTAGTGAACCGTTTTTCAGATTTCCTTTAAACAATGTATTTATCAAGCAAAAACACCTCAGCTGTTGCTAAAGATCCAACCCAACACCATAACCCTAGTGTCAAAGATACCCAGATACCTGAATTGCTTCAAGATGGAGAGACACTGCACTTAATTCACTACTTACACGCTGGCCAATCAGTCCTTGTTCCCCAATAGATCCAAGAGGTCCAATTGCACCCTGCAAAACCAGACATTTTGCTTTACCCATCTTACTGTTGTATCACTGGGACATCTAAAAATAAGCAAAAAATCACTTTTCTTTTTTTGCTTGCAAATTGCCAACAAAGTTTATAATGCCATGGATGGAGACATGACCGTCGCGGTTACACGCGGGCTCGTGCCCTCGCTGCTCCACCCTGCCGGTTCGTCCCGCAACACGTGGGCACAGACCCGGGTCTCCGGCGTAACGCAACAGGGAACCAGCTGAATGAGCTAAAGGAGACCTCCCCCATCCCAGGCGGCAGAGGTCCCTGCTACGCGCAGGCAGGGTGATGACGACACCGTGTCCAAACTAGTTCCGCTACACCCTCCCCTGCTGACTTCGCCTAGGCGAAGGACACTCCCGTCCGGGTCACGGCGCCAATGTAGCGCTTTCGGCTTCACTCGAGTATGTGCCCTCGCTGCTCCCACCTCGGGTCAACCCTCCACCTCTGGGGCTCAAACCCGGGCCTCCGGCATCACTCAACAGGGAACCAGCTGGTTGAGCTAAAGGGAGATCTCCCTCAACCCAGGCGGCTGAGGTCCCTTCTACGCGCAAGGGGGGCGATGACTGGCACTTATTTTATTACTCTGGATTTTTTCTACTCTAGTATAATATTATTTCCCAACAGAGGAGTGCAAATTCTTTGATCATCTTGATAATTTATTCCACTCTCCATGAGGCCAGCAGCCATAGCACTCTGCAACTCACAACTGGCAACCCACTAAAGCTAAGCAGGTGTGAGCCTGGTCAGTACCTGGATGAGAGACCTCCTGGGAAAAACTAAGGTTGCTGCTGGAAGAGGTGTTAGTGGGGTCAGCATGGGGCGCTCACTCTGCGGTCCATGTGGGTCCTAATTCCCCCAGTATAGTGATGGGGACACTATACCGTAAAACAGGTGCCGTCCTTCGTATAAGATGTAAAACTGAGGTCCTGACTCTCTGTGGTCATTAAAAATCCCAGGGCATTTCTTGAAAAGAGTAGGAGTGTAACCCCAGCCTCCTAATGAATTGCTTACATCACTCCGTTCTCCTTCCCACTAATAGCTGATGTGTGCTGAGCATTCTGGCGCACTATGGCTGCCGTTGCACCATCCAGGTGGGGCTGCACACTGGTGGTGATGGAGGGGAGTCCCCATTGCCTGAAAAGCGCTTTGAGTGGAGTGTCCAGAAAAGCGCTATATAAGTGTTAAGATTAAGATAACTTTATTAGCCATATACAATTTCTTGCATTAGGAATTTGTCTTTTTGCATTCCCCAGATTGCTCTCCATGAGACACAAAGGCACACAGACAGGGAGAGAGAAGCTTGGGGTCAGAGTGCAGGGTCATCCATTTATATGGCGCCTCTGGAGCAGCTGGGGTTAAAGGCCTTGCTCAGGGGCCCAACAGAGTAGGATTCCTCTGTTGGCTGCGGGATTTGAACCAGCAACCTTCCAGCCACAGGCGCAGATCCTTAGCCACAGAGCCACCGCTCCGCCCACTAGAGTATATATAAGGGTGTGCTACAGTATATAACAAACTAAATATAATCAACTGAAGGAAATCAGTAGGATGTGGGCTAACCAGAATTAGAAACAACGGTCATATGGAATGAAAGGCACACATGTCATTTATCCATTTCTTCCCAAATCCGGTCAACACTCTATTCCTGCTTTTGAAAAATGCATGATCTTGCTAGCAGTACAAGTCAAAATGTAGGACCTTTCAAAAGATTGAGCTTAAAAGAACACAAGGAGGGTAAATAAAGAAAGTCACACTTATTAGTTTTCCTGACTCATTCTTGCATGACATACATGAACCTTTTTGAAATAGAAAAGGGGAAAAGGAAATTGCTTTGACACTAATGAAATCCTTGTGATGCTTGTTCAATTGTCCTGAATGGCAACAGATGGTACATAGGAGTTTCAGGTCACGTATTTGAAATTGTCGGTCCCTGCTTGCCAACTGGAGGTATCAGGAGACAGTGATAAAGGTCCTTGTGTTTCTGCATTTACATGAAACCGGCCCTTTCACAACAAACCCAGGAGCTCATTGCGTAAGTGAAAGATCAATCAAGTTCTTAAATTAGGTAATGCGAAAAAAAGCAGAGCTAAGAGAGTTTGGAACAAAAAAGGATCTTAAAAAAACAGTACACTGTCCTTGCCAAATCATTTCACAATTGACCAGAATCAGGGAAATGCAGTTAGAGGATTAAATGGGGATATCGGGTTCCGTGCTGAAAATCAAACAGGTCCTGTACTGGGCAGACAGGCTGGGAAAGGCTCTTACTTTCTCTCCTGGTTCTCCTGGCAGCCCCGGCTCGCCCATTTGACCTGGAGGACCCTGGTGAGGAGAGAAAACAGACAGGCTTTAAACTTCGCTGCTTGAAGGTCATTAGCTCGATCACAACGAGCTTTTTCATTCAGCAAAGCAATTCTGACCCCATTAATGACAGGTAAGGTGAAGCAAATCAGGTCAGGGATTACTGTACTGTATATATACCTTTTCTGCTGAGTGCTTAGAAAGCTTTGCTGTCATGTGCAGTATATGGGGACAATAATGTCATGAAAGAAACTATAGAGAAAGAGGTTGGTGTGCGTGTGTGCAACATGGCAGAGTGAAACAAAGCTTGAGAAGGTTAATTTCCTGCTTGCTTTAATGGTCGAGTTAATATTTAATCATAAATTAGAGCTGCCACTGAGGAGGATGAGGTTACACATGCGGTTTCATCTTAATGATGTCTAATTTTACAGTTGTATTTTATTTATTTATAAGAGGCAGATCACACTTGGTCCAGAGTGCAAACTAACAGCTGCTTCTGCTTAGACAAAAAAATTAAGACATAATAAGAGATAAACCATTTGGGCTTTCGACTTCGGTAAGGTTAGTGTTATTGTCGATTCACAACACAGGCACGTTCACCTGCTGCACAGTGGACAGCTGGATTTTCTGGAAGGTTCTAGTGTCCTCAGTTTCCAACTTGAGCTCTCTGTTACATAGCAGGTCTAATTAATTTAACTGCATAAGTTTGATACTTGTGACTTTCCTCTGATGTGTTTTATAAGTAACTGTACCCTGGAGCAAGCATTTGAGTCATCAGCTGTAAAAGACCTTAAGTAAAAACGTTAAATGTGTCCAAGAAAATAATTAGGTCAAATGCTTAATTGACAGCTTAGGTTGGGAGAAAGAAACAGTAGATGCCAGGCCCTCCAGAAAGAGTTTTTGACACCCTGCATCCTATATAATCACCAGTGTCATTGATGGGGTCTGCTAACCAGTGAAATGTCAGTGCTGTGGTCAGAAGTCTTACTTTGATTCCAATTTCTCCAAGAGGTCCGATCATTCCTACTGGCCCTGGGGGACCCTTTAAAAAAAAAAGCCAAGAAAACGTAAATATTAAAAAAAATTGAATGAATCTGTACTAACTAGAGAAAACATTATTAATAGCTAGGCTCACTCCGTTTCAATGTTCATATTTCTGTTGTGCACTAAATACAGTAGCAGAAGCAGTTTGTTTTCAACTGAGATAAGAACCTGCTTTTTTAGTCTGGCAAGAGGTTAGCAAGTTAAAGAGATAACCATTGATTAATTAGCTGTTTGTGGCGCTGTGTGGATTCAGTGTAAAGTAAAACTTACACTGTCACTTAATTTATAAACAGCTGGTAGAGAGAACATTTTAATATTTGACTGGTGGTTGACAAATGCTTACATTTTCTAAAGAAAAAAGCACCATCCCAGCCACAGAGCTGTTTCATTTTAAAAGATGCATTTGAGTTGCTAAACATTCACATGTTTTGGATCTTAAAAAGATTAAAATAAACAAATCAGTGCAGACACTACAGATTAAAGGCTGGGCTTTCATTATAAGAATGCTTGCACTGCAAAACTATAAATATCAAAAAGGAAGAGGCCTATTTCGGTACTTGAATGACCCCCCTGCATTAATGCATCTATTGGAGCCAACAACAAACCTGTGATTCCAGCACTCAAGACAACAGTGAGAGACAATTAGCGAAAAGCAAGTCTGCAAAGAATGAGACATTCGCATGTGGGATACAGCTGGAAAGAGATCAACCATCAAAAAGCAATCCCATCATATTTCCTTGAGCATTTTTTTCTGAGCTAAACTCACTCCAAGCTGCTGTGTGATACGACTTTCGACTATCAATGGCGATGTTTGCCATCTCAAACAAATGCAATGTATTCTTGATTGGCACAACAGAATACCTTCAGGGTCTGCATGTGACAGACAGCACTATATGAACAATAGTTCTTCTGAGGCACAGGACAAATGAAGACTATGACATCACCCACCAGTTGCAGATTCCACACAACAATGTATTGCCAAGTCTATGGCTAGATAGATGCTGTTGGGGTCTATAACTATTATTCAGCATGCATCTGCTCGACGATTTCATCCAAGAGGACTTAGGGCAGTTGGAAATATAAAAATCTAATGTCTTATATAATATAAAACACTCCATGAGAAACCATCATTAATCATTAGGTTTGGAATTAGCAACTGTCAAGTGGGCTTACGTTGTGATCCATGCCTTAGTCAAAATGAAATGTGACAGTAGTACTACTGTAGGTATGTTTCTCAGACGCTGCACTAATTACTTTAGTCATCCATTATACAACACGGAGAGCTAATGCTGATGCCTTTAATATGTTTACTGCCCATTAAAGCCTAGTTATTGACTGCTTTTCTTGGATATCTCGTCATTGTCCCAAAGGTGATTTTCAGGCTAGGCACCAATTCTCAGTGACTCAATGACGACAATGATTCAAATGAATTCACTGGAATCATTTCAGATATTACTCATAAAAAAGATAAAGTATCAAAATGAGTAATAAAGCTGAGTAAAGACTATCTCTGACATTCCGTAGACATCATGCAACTTTCACCAGCAGTGCAGATAAGCGAACCCTAAGCAATCTTGACATCTTCTTTTGTCCAAGAGTAATGAGGAAAGTGTTCTACAGGAAATTACTCATTGATTTCACGTGAACCTCTTGTTCAATTGGCTTCCAATGACTGTAATGAGCTGTTACTGAAAGCTATTTTTTTTATTAAGTGTTACAAGAATCCCAGTAGGAACACTGGATTTTACATTTTTCCTTAACAGAATAACAGTAAAATAAAGAAAAACAGGGAAAATAGGTACAGTGACTGCTACTGCAGAGTATACCATAAAAAATGTATCTATCAAGTTTATAGAATAATTAAAATGTTATTATGGATGAAAGCTAAAAATGTGTAGCTTACATTTTGTGCCTTTATAGCCACTTTGTTGCTATAGTATTCTTCCTCACACAGTTGACTGTGTGTTTTTAAGGAACTGCTAACGTACGGTGCTGACTTCCTGGTTCAGAACACGAATATGGTGATACTACCCTTTGGCATAGTTTAAAGCTAGAAAAGAATGATAATTTTTCTGCTTAATAATCACAGTATGCACATTTTCCTCAGCATGATCCCAATATTATTGGGTTTGACTGCATCATTTTGTAAGAAGACCCTTCAAAAAATCCATTAAGAGGATGAACACTTTAGCGCTCAGCTTCTATTTTTGACTAAATAGTCCCAGCAGTTATTCATCATCCTATGAAGCAACTTCCAAGCTCAACAAACACTGGAGCTGCAGTGCTTCCATAGGAAATCCTGAATAGATTATCCCTTCTTATATCTTCCGATTCACCTTTCAGCAGCCTCTCCAGAAAAGTGTGCTGGATTCCAGGCCTGCCATAAAAATATGAGAGTCTAGTCTACAACTTTCCTTAATAAATCCACAAATCTCTTGGGTATTCCAAATCATTTTGCCGATTCGGGTTTTAGTCTTCTTCAAACTGACTGCGTTTTTACTAATCCACTACAGAAACACTGAGTCTACAACAGCAATGAAATACAGCCTGGATGTAATACTATTCCAATAGCTAATAGTATAGTTAGAATCTAGTATTTACAATCACAAATTAAAAACATTTGTCTCTGCTGCCAATGTACTGTACAATACATAATGCAAACAAACCTCACTAAATCCGAGTTTCCCTAGTCCTGTTCCTGGGGATGATATGCTTACATTCTAGTTGTGTTACCAATTACTTAATTAGACCTTTTACTGTTTCCATTTTTTGAAAAGAAAAGAAAGAATGCTTATACAAAATCAGAGATGAAAACAGCTAAAATGAAAATTAAGGCTTATTTAAGCAGTGGGGAGTTCTGGAGCTAAATCCAGAATATACAAGGGTTTTAAAAGTTTGAACACCTGGGTGTCAAACCTGAAACATGTTGGGGAAACACGAAAGGCAGAGGAAGAGTGGATATGAACAAATATGAATCTGATCTTCCATCCGGAAAGGGGCAATTGCCCATATGAAAAAATAAAAAATCTAGGGAAATTGATCATGGACTATTTTAACCCAGGGCTAATTAGACTAAGATTTAAATTAGGTTTAGGTAGAACACTGGAGGTTCAGATCAAACAGTTGATAGGAACTGGATGTACACAACTCCCACACTAGTCAAGATTGTCCATTTGAATAATTGGCGTCTTAAACTTAGACAAGCAAGACTCTTTGCCAGACTGCAGCAGGTTAATTCATATTCCTGAAGTGGGATATAGCAACAGGAAGAAAACTGTTGCCATATCCCAAAAATCACAAATCAAGGTTTCTAAAATGATTTAAATGTTATTAACCATCTATAAATGGTGGTTCTTCATAAAGTCAGAGAGATAAGTCACTCTTGGCTTCATTTTGTTGAGTCCCCTGGTTTATTTTTGTGAAAATCTAATTATATCTGGACCAGGTTAATAATTTCCTGTTAAAAAGGGGACATTCTGCTCCGGACTCAACAAATAAAATTGCACAGATTAATGTTGGTCCAAAAAAACACAACTGGACCTTTTTTTTTGCAGCATTCTCCCCGTCATTCTATTTTGTCACATCTAAACATTGCATGGCAAGCAGAAAGCAGTACTGGCATCTAGTAAATAAAAACAGAACATGCAGCTGCTAGAAAATTCTTTGTGTGCAGAAATAAAAAATAAAACTAAATGAAATACACATTGGTTCTCCATTACTTTTGAACATTCTGTGGCCCTGAAATGCGGTAAACATCTTTACTAACAGTGTGACTATAAATGCAATTCAATAACCATCTCCGAACCCAACACTACCATGCATCTTCACACTTACAGAGTTTGTGTGCAGGAATGCGTTCATTATATCATCATGCATAAGTGAAGTTGTAAGGGCATTAACATGCGAATTAAATGACATTTACCGGTTCTCCTGGAATTCCTTTTGCCCCAGGAGGTCCTGAAGGTCCTTGTATTCCCTATAATATTTAAACACAGACATTATTTTCCATAAAACTGCTATTATAACTCAGACATAGGATATTACCAGCTGAAACCAAGAATAAATGAAAAGACATGAAAAGCGCCAGGCATCACAATTCTCTTTATTCCTATTTCTCCTTTACCAGGAATGGGATTAATCTGTGATAGGGATCAAATGTATTTCACCCTGAGATGTGATTCTGAAAGACCTTATTTTATGGACATCACATTAATTCAACCCGTTAAGATGAATTTACAATATGTCTCTTAAAGCAGACAATTGCGTCTTGAGGCTAAATGCATATATCATAATAGTCTTGGGGTAGACAGAGATGCAGTCAAAGGGGAAGATGCAGATGTGTGCGTCATTTCACCAAACTGCTAAGCAGGTGTGAATTATATACAAAACTATAAATTTTAATACATATACTGCATATGTTTAACATGTATCCAGGTTTCATGCCAACATTTTTATGCCGCATCTTAGCACAAAAATGTTCTAAACATTCCCCACAGACTTTAGGAACAGTGTGATCGCACTATAATCCAAACACTATCACCAAGGAGGAAAAAAGAAATCAAGCTACAAAAGATAAAATGCCACTTTGCTTTGTTCACGGCTACTGCCTTAAACAATGTAGCCTATGAGTAAAATGAAATGTTAAAGGTAACATTTTTCCGATTATTCAATTTTTTAAATAATTTGAGTGTGGCTGCCTTGGGGGGCTCCTGGCTTGGCTTCAACCTGACTTGCTGACTCAAGAATTTGTATAACAGGCTTCTAAAGAGGGGACTGTAAAAAACAGTCTGGGACAGTTATTACCAAATTTATCCCTCTTTACCGCGGTTGTTGCCTCTCATTCACTTTTGGAAGAACATTCTCCACAGCTCTATCTTTTCCCCACCTTTTCTCCCCAGACCAGAGGGGTTGCACGTAAAATCTACACAAATTCAGGGAGCTCAAATAAGAGAGATGAGCATAAACCACACAAGAAAGTGCTCAAATGACAGAACAATGATGTGTACTCTCACGCAAAGATCTGTTTAAAAGCAAACACATTGTTTTTCTTAAAGCACTAAGATTTACTTACTGCAAAGCCTTGAAGTCCTACTTCACCTGACTCTCCGATCTTTCCCTGAAATTGAACAGATCAACAGCTTCAGCAAGCCTGCTGAACCGATCACCTCTCCAACCTAGTCTATCACACAACTGTGCAGAAACCAGCCCCTTAATATTGTAATTGATAACTAGCAGAATCAATATAACAAAGTGCAGGTTCTATCAAAGGACAATGCAATGGACTGTACAAAGTGTGGGATGAGTAGCTTTCAGTTACAGCATGGGTTACACGCATAGGGATCACTAAAGACTTAAGCAAATGTATATTAATCTTTTGTGCCTTATAGGACTATAGGAAAGCTTAAAAAATAAAACAAGAAAAAAACAAAAAAAACAAAAGCCAATTCACTCATAAACTGACACTGTTGAATTTGTAGGAATCCATTGCCCTTATTCAGTACTCCTGATCTTTACGATCCAGCCTTGAGCTGAGTTTCATGCTGTTTCAAGACATTCAGCTACTGTCTGAAGGACCACATGGGATGTTATTAATTTCAACTGCTTTGCTGTGAAAATATCCCCTGTAACTCAAGGACATTCCTTGCACTAATTAAAGTGAAAAGATCTTGTATGCGGTTTCATAAAACCGTGTCTAGGCTCCCAGACAACCTGCAAATAAGGATGTTAGGATGTTCCCGGTTCAAGAAACTTCCTACAACAGCATCCACATAGTAATCTTGGGAAAGTTGTAAACTCACAGCTGGTTTAAATTCCTCAATTACTCCCCCCCAACACCTCATTTCCACACTGGTTTCTAAACTCCCACAGGAGTTTTTTCTAAATCAAAGCTTTCCAGTTGCTGGGTCTCTCATAACATCGTGAAATGGATGCACCACCACTGAGGACATTATGAAGACTGTTCCAGTGCGGTCGTGTCTGGAATGCAGACATGCGTTTTTTGTCTTGGGACAACCCACACCTCTTTATGTGTGAACTGCTTCATAATACCGCTGAAATTGTTTTGTAGACCACTTTTTATAGGTTGGAATTTTTGGGAAGCCTCCGGACAATCTGTTAAGAACAATGTTCTCAGTCTATCAGATAAAGAGTAGTCAACAGGATAGTGTCTTATGACCTCTCGTTCCACAGTTTGCATGTATAAAGTCAAAGTTAACAAAAGTCAAGTGAAAAATTCTAAGAGTTCTATCTCCTGTAGCATTTTGATATGACAAGTGCAAACTCATGTGCATAGCTTTATTTCATAGTGACAGCATGCTATTAAATAAACACTCTAAATCTGGATGGAGGCTGTTTCTTGTACAATATACTGTATGTATATAAAAGACGTAAATGCACACAAATACAGGTAAGACTGAATTTAATGTACCTGCTCACCAGGAAAGCCAGGTTTTCCTGGCTGGCCTTCAGGACCCTGAGAGAAATGAGAATTGTTTACAGTCTGCATTGCATAAACATAAATCCACCTAAAAGTCTGTTTTTTGTAGCTAAAACATGGTGTGGATTACCATTAAAGGATATCATTTTAAGCATGCAAAAGTAATGTACAATTACATTGAACAGGAAAATCGTGATAGTTTTTACCATATTACCACACTAAAACAATTCAATTCAGAACCAGCCCAAACATAATGAACAATATTTTAAATTAATGCAGTACATCTATAAGATAGGAGCAGGAGATGTAAAACATATCAAATAACTAATGTATAGAAGATGAAGGATTTGACACTATTTACAGGTATACTGTAAGAACAGCCTACTGCATGCACATTAGCAGAATCAACCAGAAGAGTTAGTTAAGGATATTCAGGGGGTACTATAAAATATACAAAAAACCTTAGCACATTAAAATTGACATATAATGAAATCTAAGGTCTTTCCTGCTGGGTAGATTATTAATAGGAACACTAGTCACAAACACTCACATCATTATATAATTAATAAATTAGGCTATAGGTGACTGCAGTGATATAAAAAGACATTCCTGTTAAAACCAGGTTAATTACAAGTTTAACTCAGTCTAGTATTCCTCGTTTCTGGCCATCACCAATTAAACTTTTTAGTTTGCACCATGTGTTGATTGCAAGCGTGGCCACCTGAATGGGTGAACCCACTACTGCTGCTTGAACTATAGTCTGATAAAGGCCACCCTCAGAGCCGAGTTTGACCCGTACCTTCGCTCCCGCGGCCCCACGCTCTCCAGTTGGACCATCAGGGCCTCTAGCCCCCTGAAAAACACACATGACAACAGTGTGAACAGCAGGTGTCTCCCTTGCACAGTTTGAGAAACAGCTAAAGTTACAAGCTGACAAAGCTGAGGGACATTACTGCCTCAATGTACACATTGAACTCCACAGACATACGTGCAACTCTGATGAACAGTTCTCCTTCAGTGTTGCCCCATTCTCCAGCATATTGCACTCCACATCCCCAGAATTCAGACCGTGTAGCATGGATCTAAAATCTGTCAATCACAGATTTAGTCAAATCTGACTTGAGCAAATTAGGCACATATTATTAGTGCAGGTGGGTTGAGCTCACAGTTATAATCTGAAGTCTCTAAATAATTAAGTGAGCTCCCCTTGATAGCATTTTAAAATTTAGCATATTCTATGAAGATATCACATAGCATTTGTGTATTACTTGTATTACTTTTGAACAGCTGCCAGAAATGGCACCAATTCATCATATAAACTAAAGAACACCACTACATGGACAGCAATTACCGAAAAGATTATTTTACAGCCACGTGTGATTAAACAATATAGTTAATAGTAAACTAATGTGTATCGTATTACCTGTATGACCAGTCTCAGCACCCAATGGTCTTATAGCTCAATTAGAAAAGCTACCTGTGTAGTAGACACACATGGAAATGTTGCAGAGATGTTTTGAACCCTTGCCTAGATCATTTCAACTAATGTACAATAGATAGGCTCTAGATTGTGACCTTGTATATTTTACTTAAAAATGATGATAGTGTCTTCAGCAGAGGGGGTATATGTCTTGGTACAAATGAGATCTTTTGGAATTCAGGATCTCTGCCCTTCTTCTGTGCAACTTGTCATGTCTGATGCTTCCAACAGCTTTAACGTTTCTGGGACTACTGGGGGAAAGATTTTCTCAGCAGTCAGTGTGTATTTCCCTATCCCATTGTATTTGGCTTTTGGTCAGAATAAGACCGGGTGACAAGTCTTTGGAAACTAGGGGCTATTGAGCCTATCAATTAACAATCCCACAAAATACAAAACTGGAAGATTTCCTGTTCTATTACACCTCCTGGTACATTATACCATAAACAGTATATACTACATTATGAAATACATACTGTATTAAGCTTGTTTAGGTTTCTGGTGACAACATTCTGGCTATAATATTAACTAATCATTGTTCACATCATATTCTGAAATCCAACCAATGTTATGCAGCATTTTTCTAAACATTTGAATTTATTATCAAATCTTTCTTGTTCAAGAACACGGATCAGAATCCACATATTTTTAAAAAGCTTAGAACAAGCAAGAAAAAGCAAAGGATTTAGAATCCTGATTTGGTTGAACTTTGCCCATTTTGTTCAGTTCATATACACACAGCCACACTTCTTCAAAGGGCCAAATGTATTTCCTTAATTCACCCAAACAGAAGTGACAGCTCTCAGCCCATAACTGAAATGTTTTTCAACTGATTAAAGCTGACACTTTAATTCCAAGCTACTGAAAAAGTGTTCTTGAACAGGATCCAGGACTTACCCAGGTATTTCTGAAACCTGCAGTACACTTGGTTCATTTATATAAATAATAATTACACTTATATAGCTTTTTTCTAGACACTCCATTCAAAGCGCTTTACAGGTAATGGGGAATCCCACAAGCACCACCAGTGTGTAGCAGCACCTGGATGATGTGACAGCAGCCAAAGTGTGCCAGTATGCTCACCACACACCAGCTATCAGTGGTGGTGGTGGAGGGGGGGGACAGAGTGAAGAAGCCAATTCATACAGTAGATCTGGAATATTAGGAGGCGATAATTGGTACAGGAAAATTGTAAATTTGGCCAGGAGACTAGGGTTAACACCCTGAAATTAGCAATCCCAATAAACCGGATATGCCCTTTTTGAGAAACATCCTGGGATTTTTAATGACCATGAAGAGTCAGGACCTCAGTTTTATATCGCATCCTTTTTTTTTTGCAGTTTGATGTCCCCATCACAATACTAGGGCATGGTGAGCGCTCCCTACTGGTCCCACTAACACCTCTTCCAGCATCAACCTTATCTTTCCCAGGATGTCTCCCAATCAGGTACTGGCCAGGCTCACACTTGCTGGGCTTCAGGGGGCTGCCAGTTGTGAGTTGCAGGGTGATAAAGACACTGGCTGATTTAACTCTGACAGAGACACAGATAACCCTGCAACACCAACTATGATTTCTAGAAACAAATCATGAACTGGAGATGGGAGTGCTCTCATGATGGTATCGTTCTACTTCACATTTCTGTCCAGTGGGAACAAATAGGAGTAAACTGTAGCTTTGGGTGAGTTGGTGGAGCGGCACAGGACATGGTCAGTAGAATGATAAATATGTTGTTCTATGTCTTAGTAAAATAAATGAGTTTTTTAAAGGTTGTTTCTCCATAAAAACCATTGTTAGCACAGTCACAATCATAAGATAATAGATCATAGGCATAATGCTGCATTTATTCTTCAATGGTTAAAGTTTCCTTAAGTGGGTTTGCACTGCTCAGTTATCTCCGGTGAGCACTAGGCCAGATGTTTCCTTCAGCAACATGAGCAGGTAAAATGCTTTAGAATGAGAAGCATAACATTCTATTGAACTAACAAGACATTAATATCAAATGGGAAATCACATCCAACTCTGAAGTGTGGGAATTAGTTTCCTTTGCCTTTGAAAACTGAGTTTTTATTGGACAAGCAGCAGGCCTTAACTTGGTAAACCACTTGTGGTACATCAGGTTCCCAGACATTCTGTGTGGATCTGACCACAAACAATTTGCTCTGCATTTAAAAAATAGACCCTGAAGCGCTAATTTGGGGTCTTGCGAATTTTATTCACACACATCAAAATAAGTTACAAAACTTAAATGTCAGCTAAAATATCAGAACTAGTGGTCGGGCATCCCATTTCTCACAAATGCAATTTTCTGCCAGGCAAAACGATAGCCGCACTTTGTCGCCACTCAAATCAGTCTTGAGGAAAAGGTTCAAATTATGTGTTAGGGGTTTGGTTTGAAATAAATTCCAATGCACTGGTTTTATTGGTGGATTAAGTATGGAACTATGGAAATCAATGGAGTCTGTTGTAATATGTCTGATTTATGAAAATATTAGAAAAAAAAAAACTTTAATTTTCTTGTTTTTCCACAACACTGCAATGTTTCTTGACTACAGAAAAGAAATGGCAATGTACTGACATATTGTGGCGGTTGCCACCACACTTTACTAGTCAAGAATACTGAGGCCTTTTATTTTGTTGAGATCACCAACGAATTGAAGAAATAATGAAACGAGTTTAATATTTTTTTGGGTTCAGTTGCACAAAAAACGGACAAAGCACTTTTGTGGATTGAAATGTTTAGCGATGTTTGGGTAAACCAAGAATTTGCCGGAACGAATAAAAAACTGGGCAGACATTGCGTTTTCCTCTTGTAATTAAATCAACTCAAATTTGCGATGGGGTCTTTGAAATAAGAACATTTTCATTGTGTATAAGGGTAAACTCTCTCAACAGTGGTATTCGACAATGTTTGAAGGTCAAGAAGGGCTCAGTTTAACAGCAGATTTAGATTGAATACAATAAACTGTAATGTATCTGGTTTCGACACCCCCTCTGTCCCCATCGGCATCACGCCTAACTCTCGCCCTTTGTCCTACAGGTGGGGAGCCCACAAAGTCGAACCATTTGGGGTGAAGAAATCTGACACTCGCCAACCAACACCACCTCCAGGCTTCGCTCAGATATTCACTGTTACCAATGTTATGTTATGAGGCTCTCTTGTCCTGTCTAGATCACTGGGCAACATTGCTCTCGGGTTTTTCTGTCACACAAGCCTTTCCAGGATGGCAAAATCATGACAAAGGTTCAGTGGGAGGTGGGGACAGTACCCCTGGATTTTCTAACTATGATGGTGGTCCCCATTTTTAAGGAATGGGGACCAGAGGAGGTGTTACAATAATTCAGTAATCAAACACTTCAGCCTCCCAGGAGCTATAGTGCTGGGGAGATTTTTTCCACCCATTGAAAATCAGATCTAGGAAGAACAGCACAGACCTACTGACATATCTGGGGAGTCATGGGTGTATGCCCTAGTGATGATTTATGACCATGTCCCCTGGAAGGCTCTGTGTGCATGTAGCTGCTTCTGCCTGTAATCCAGACCCTTTAAGAGTTATGTTTATATTCTTAGAGGCTCTTTAGTCAGGGTGATGGACTCCATCAATGGTCCAGCTTCTCTCCCCTTCTGTTTGTGTCCGGTCTATAATTTGTGGACGGGATATTCCAGAGTGGCCAGGGATAGACCATGTTTCGTTTGGGGTCTTGATATTTGCGTTGCAGCTATTCCCAGATGTACGTCCTGCCTCATCTGACCTGTGGCTTCTGTTGCAAGCTGGTGTGGTCTGATGCTAAGTATCAGTTGGCTGTGATGAAGATCAGCACCTCCAAATCTAAGGTCACAGTTTTCTCCTGGTAAGGGGTAGATTGCCCTCTTCAGGACAGGGGGGAGCAGCCGCCCTCAAGGGAGGAGTGACAGTTTCCCAGAGGTCAGTTCACAAGTGAAAGCATAAGATTGGGCAGACATCCGTGTGGAGTCCGCTGTTGTGGGCAGAAGTCCTTTGTCTGGCAAAGGACACACTGGAGGATTTACATCTCCCAGAAGATCCTAGGAAAGCCTAGAATTTGCATATTCTAGGAGTGCAAGCTGGAGTGCACTGCTGAGGAAAGGGACCCTCCACCCAGAAGAAGTAACAAAAATTGATGAGAAGAATATGAACTACATTGAGATACATGTTTTACCACTTCAGGCTCTTACTGATGACACTGATGAGTCAGGCATCTTAGTGATATTTATATATTTTGGTCCACTGATCAAAATTAACAATAATCACAGACTTTGTAAATGGATCTTGGAGAAATTTAAAGCTAGCACAAATAAGACCCTGAAATCTGGAAATACCAACAAGACAATTTTACAAGTAAATCAGTGGGCATGCTC